AGAGCACCAAATGTGTATTAATCCTCCACTGAGAATAGTCCCCACCAAATGAACTGTTTACTACTGTTGGATAAAAATGCCCTGCTGTTTTAGGAAGTTATAGAGACGTTTTTACTGTCTCTCTCTCTCTCTCTCTCTCTCTCTCTCTCTCTCTATATATGTATATATATATATATATATATGTATATTTATTTTTAAAGCTTTAGGATTTAAGTAGGAACAAATGGGCGGGGCCAAGTGCCACAGGTAGCATCAGGATGTCAGAGACCACTAAGAGACGGACTAACACATTGTTGGTTTTAGTCTTTCTATGGGATTTGTCGACTATATGAAAAATGAAGAATTACACCAGCTTTATACTGTCATATCCCCATATATGTAATTTTGCCGGAAACACTTATTCAATTAATTGATCTGTAGTTTGACAATCAGACAATCAGGATTTGTTGCTTTTCTCTGTCTGATGTAATAATATGTGATTAGACAAGACAAGCGATTTGATGATGTCAGAAAATTGTGATTGTGATCTTTAAGTGTTTTCAGACACTTTATAGACCAAGATGATTAACCAAGCAAATAATCTGATAAATAATGAAGCTAATAGTTGCAGCCCTGCTTGTATCCACTCCACTTCATACTCCACTCAAAACTCAGCTTTGAACTCTCAACTTCCTTTTGTACAACACTTAAAAACACATCTCTGTTATTATGTGCCTCTTTTCCACTACTGTGGATATAGCTGCAGTAATGCTTTTTTGACATTCACTAGATGAATAAATAAAGCCGTTCTATTGGCATTATTTCTTCAAACAGGAATGCTAATATCATATTTGAGCCCAAAGGGAGTTTTGTCCCAGTGGGAATTAATCCAAATCCTGGTTTAGCTAGACTCACTAAAAGACAAATAGGTTTGTTGTTCTTTCCATTATGCTTTGCAGCCTATAATTATATCCCAGCTGTTGTGGTGTGGAACCAGATTTGTAATTATTTGTGCTAGAAAGACAATGCTGTGCTTCACATGTTTCCATTCTTTGCTGCACAATGAAATCCTCCCAGTTACTGTACCGGCCTAACCCTAACCTTACCGTCCTACACCCATTTTATTTCCCTTTTGAATCCTCTCCTGCTCGTCTCCGTCCTTTTGTTCAGACTGATAATAATGCGTAGCGACTGTCGAGGTGCAGTGACAGGCTGTCGAGGAGACGGGACAGAGGAGTGAGAACTGGACCGGAGAGGAAGCGTCCGTGGCAGGCGGACTGTTTTGACCTTTACCATGTGATTCCCCTCGTCAGCTATGATGACAAGTACTGCAACTGTGTGGGAGACGAGGCTGGAGCTGTGTGTTTTTTTTTTTTTTAAGCACTGGGCTGATTGTCTCATCCAGAGAGATTTACAGCAGGTACAGTGGTTGGTAACCAAGGTGCCCCTGGTAGTTTCCCTGCATGAGAAGTGTCAGAGAATTAATAAAAACAGCACCTAAGGACCATGGTAGTCTATCATCTCCATCCTTCATCTTTCCCTTCATCTTTCTACGCGTTACTCATGAAAAGGTTTTCTTCGCGTTGCTTGTGGTCCTTCTGTTGTCAGCTGTTTCCTTTGGTAAAGAGATGTTTGATCCTTAACCTGATAGTGGAAGAGAAGAAAAGTGAATTCCTGTATGATGCTTTAATGGACGGCTTGTGTTTCAGCCTTTGCAGAAGTAGACTTCTGCAGAAATCCCACTGGTACTCGCATCCATTTACTGAATAACAATGAAGTACTGTTTGGTTATTTACTGTAAGTTTATCTCATGAGAAATTTTGAATTCGTTCAGTCGCTACATCATGCAAGTAATGACCCACCGGACAGTTGTTTACTGCACCTCATAGCTGCGGTAAATCAAGAGGTTATGCTTCGATTTTTTTTTTTTTAGCATCTCTGCAGCCCTGACTCTGCGTGGATTCAACACCCCACGTTCGAGGAGTTTTAGGACCCTCCAACAGCCATAACCCTCAACCACGACGTCCGATGACGAAGGCCCCGTGTCATGAGCAGTGAATGTCTCGTCAACTTCCTGATCGATCCCACCCTGCGAGGGAAAACGAGCCACTGAGCAGATAAAGCCAAATGATGCAATAAAAGAGACTGACATCATACAAACCGCATCAAACTGCCCCACTGAAATAACAGATGGACTTCTGTTCACATTTTGGTATAAACCATGCAGCACACTGCGTGTTAATACCAGAGTGTAGCTACTGTATGTAAGTTTCTTTAAGCAGTAGTTCAAATAAGCTGGTGTGGCTAGAATTTAGCTTCTTCTCTGATGAATGGAAACTTGTTCCTCCAGAGACTACGGAATAGATTTATTTATTTAGTCGCAAACAACAACAACAAAAGCTTTTTACCTTCAAACAGCGGGAGATGTGATCTTGATTTAGAAATGCGACAAAAGTGCAAAAGTCGCCCGGTTCTCTGTTTTTGTCTTCCTGTGCTTATATCTTTCGGTCTGAGTGTCCCCTCTCCCTCCCGCCGTCACCCCCTGCCTCCATAATGGTTTTCCTCAGGTGCTTCGGTCCCGTCCCAAATCGACCCCTGGCACCCGGCCCCCTCCCCCCTCCCCCCTCTCCATCTTGAGTCCACTCGGCTCCAACAGGTGAAAGCAGAAGCTGCACTTAGCTGCTCTCTCCTCTATCAGAGAGAGAAAAAAAATTGATTTGTTTTTATTCATAGGTTTAACCTCTCCTGGCCACTTTGATCTTGTGCTGGAAAGCCTTGGGCTTTCAGGAGAAGGGCCCTCGGTGTTTGTCGCCGAGTTTTTTCACTGGTTGCATCAGTAGTCGGGGGGGGGACGGCACTTGTCCATTTCAGTGTTGGGATGCGAGTGCTGAAAGAAAGATGAAAGGCAGTAAGTGGGGTGGATTTGGAGGCGGGCCCAGGTGAGATGAGAGGGAGCTGAGGGTGGAGAGGTGTGTTTGGATCAGGGGCTGCAATTTTTCTGTCCACTCTGGCTGCCTTTAATCTTTCCAGTTGCCATTAGAGGTTGCATTGGAAGCTGGAGTGTGTCTGTGTATCAGCACTTGTGTCTAGATGTCATCATATAACCCCTGTCCTTGTCTTGGCTGTGGGCTTTTCGGTGACTGTTTTCATCAGAGACTGTTGGTTGATATTTTGTAGTCGCTCTAATCATATTAAAAGGATTATTATGTGAGTGCATATACAAATCGTCACATTTGAGACGCTGGAACCAACAGTTTGTCCTGTGTATCCCTTGTTCTACGTGTCCTGGAAAAATACCCACCTTTTTCTTTTTTTGATATTTTCTAATGTCAGACAGTTCACCTCTCTCCTCTGTCAACACATTGTGTCTGCCACTGTCATCCCCAGATCTCTATTCTCTCTGTTGATGTCTCCCTCAATTTTCATGTCTCTTTTCTCCCTCCCTCTCTTCTCTCCTCTTTGTTTGACTGCTTGTTGTTTCCTCCTCTTTATATTCATTCCTATCTCTACATCTTTTTTTCCTCCTTCTTCTGTCTTCCCTCCCTGTCTTTTCCTTCTCTTTTGTCTCTCTGGTCCTTTGTCAGCCTGCCTGACTTGGCCTTTTTCCTGTGTATCATTCTTTGACATAATGTCTATTTTTTTTTTTTGGTTTGTTTTTTCCTTTGTTTTCTCCCTATCTCCTCTTGACTCCCCCCCAGCCAGCCCCGGCAGGTCTATTTTGGTGGTTCACTTTCTGTCTCTGAAGCCCTGGAGATGAATTATTGAACAGACTGACCCCCCTGGCTGCACAGCTGCTGTTTGGGTGCGGGGTGTGTGTCTTTTCTCTGAATCCATTTCAGTTCTTTAAGTGCTTCTGGTCTTGTACGTCTCTGTGTTTTTGAACACTTTAAGCGTTCCTGTCTCTGTGTGTGTGCGCGCCTTATGTCTGCGTAGTGTTGCTTTCTTTGTGTGTTTAAACATTAGGAAACCTGTGGCTGAGACACAAGTTGTACCTGCACAATCTCTTCTTTCTTCAATGACTGTCAAATGGAAGAAATCCAACATAATTCTGTTTGTGTGTGTTTTCGCACTGATGACACTTACAAAAATAGCAAACCATTTTCAGTCTCATCGTGGGCTGAATTGAATTTCTTTTTTTAACAGCTTGTCATCCAACAAAACACAAAGCTGCACTAAACTTTTTATACAAAGTAAAGATGGAGCAGGAAGCGGATGACAGATTACCAGGATCACAAGGTTTTGAGACTCACACCATCATGTGCACATTTGCTCCAGGATGCCCTCGTATATTTCACTTGCGTACCTGTTTTTTAATTAAAATGGTGGCTTGATTTCAAATAGTTTGAGCCACTGGATCAGGATTGTTCCCGATTCTGACCATTTTACATGGATCGGGTTTCAGCCCGATGTGACTGATCCACACTTATTTTTCAAGGACAGTACAAAAGGACATTAGTCTCATATTGGCTCCCTAATATCTTGTTTTTGTGTGTTGTGTTCTGATCATATGGAACAAAAGATATACAGGTCTACAAAGTTTTGATGCCTTTTATGCTTTTAAATTGTTTTCATGCAGTTTCATTCACATGATTCACAGTAAGCGCCCAGCTAAGCTCTGTTTAGGCATCATGAATCAAAAATTAACACAAGAAATAAAAAAAAAAAATGTTTTCAGAGCTTATCGTCAATCCAAGCTTTGTTTTGGAGATGAATTGCAAATGTTTCACTGGGAAGCTCTCGCTACATGTCGACAGCTTCTCATCCATTTTGCATTTTTCCAGGCGGAACTAATGTTTATCACAGGGATTTATATAAGAAGGGAAAAGAAGCAGAGAAATATTAACAGGCGTTGATTTGATGAATGTATTCTTTGCTTGTAAACTGTCCACACATTGGTCCGCTCAGCTTTATATAAAGAACGGGCGGACCTCTGATGACTTGTTGATCATGTTGCTTGTAGTGTGAAGAGACGGCTAATGAACAATAAATCTAATTTCAGTCTTATTGTGTGTTTTCCACAGGCTGTTCAATCTGACTCTGAAGAAGCTGATCATGCTGAAGGAGCTGGATAAAGATCTCACCTCGGTGGTGATCGCCGTCAAACTGCAGGTACGAGACTAAACGTACAAAACGATCCCTAGCTGCTAAAACTGTTTGTTGCTGAGTCTGAATTTGAAGGCAAACAAAAATGACAGGATTAGTTAAGAACATAATTGAAGTCAACCGCAATTAGATTTTAGTTTTCATGATATAAAAAAGCAGTTCCAGCTGAATGTACGATTATTTAATTAATGTTTGTAACGTCTGATGAAACTCTCCCGCAAATAAATAATAGTTAATCATTTAAATCAGACTCAGCTTTAATTCAACAATTATTTCTTTAGCTTTAATCAGCAAAATCGTATTTTAGGACTTAAAGACTTGAATTTCACTTTGACTTGAGTTTGCCAAACCGATAGACCAGTGGATGTTGAAATGCTGCTGAATAAACCACAAACGTAGCACTTTTTTTTTCTGTTTTCTATTTCTGTTGTGTTGCGTTGTTTTGTTGAGTCAGGTTATTGGATGTGGACACACACTTCCTTCTCTTCCTTTACAGCCAAAAACAGTGTCTGCCACTTCTCCACAGTTGGGTGCACAGTAAATTACTTTCCCCGTATTCTTGAGAGAATCAGAGATGTTTCCATCTTTCTTTAAGTATTAAGTTAAATGTTGTTTGCTCAGCTTTCTCCAGCTTGTCCTAAATTGATACTTTATAATTATTATTTTTAATAAAACAGTTTAAGATGGTTAAATTTTTAATGTTGTTTCTCCACTCCCCAGTTGTTTTCAGTCTATATGATCTCCATTTTTTATTTTTTTTTTTATCTTAGTAAACCAGTAAATTCTCTGTTTCTGGGACATGAGACACTTTAAGCTGTTTCATTTCTTCTTCCACTTGCTCAGTCTTTCCTTTCAGCTCCCTCCTATCAGTCAGTTTCATCTTCTTTTTCATCCTCCTTTGTTCCCTCACTCCTCTCACTGCATGTGGTTGATGAGAGTTTCTTGGCTCTCATGATGCTCTGTCTTTTTGTCTTTTTTGTCTCCGTCTCTCCTCCTCCTCCTGTCGCCTCCCCAGGGCTCCAAGCGGATCCTGCGCTCCAACGAGATCCTGCTGTCCTCAGCGGGTCTGACAGAGACCGACCTGCAGCTCACCTTCTCCCTGCAGGTAAAGACAAAAGGTTCAGAGAGGTCAGGGGCCCGTCAGTCAAGAGCAGACAAAAACTTTGTCCTCGTGGTGTTTTTGTACTTCCAACAGAAATGGACAAAAATAATAACCTTTGATGTCTTTGATGCATCAGTACCCACATCAACACATTCTCTAGCTCCAAAAAAAAACAGATAAATTAAGTTTTGATGTCGAGCTGAAATATGTAGAATTTTGGGGGCAGGTGTCATGTACCTGTTTTTTTGTAGAAGATCACAGGGGCCACCGTATGTGATGCACAGCTCTGATCAGAGGTGGAATTATTCTCTGTGAACAGTGAGGGTGATAAAATATTTAGAGAATAAAAAGTTCTGTTTGCAAAGGAGCAGATGAAACCCCACCACCACCACCACCAAGAAAAAAAAAAGCTTTGCCCAGTCCATCCAGGAATTGGTCATTTTCTGAACTAAAAAAAAAAGAAGAAACACAAAAGTTAGTCAATCTGTAATATTTGCAAGAACATATTTAAAAAAAAAAAACAATCCAAATTAAATCTTGTGCAAAAAACTGAGAGTCAAACTAGAAGAAAGCCAGCCAGTTTCATCACTGCTGTTTTCTGCTACAGAAGAATCCATTTCATAAACACTAGGGGCAAAGGTCAAATAAATATGATGCCTTGTTTCTTCACAAACAAACTTGCTCGTCATCACAGGAGGAGGGTTTTCTTCTCCTAGTGCTTGTACAGGTGTTGCTTGTTTTTGTACATGGTTGGCAACACAACATGACACACCTTGAACACCTGATCCAGGGTCCATAAACAGCCAGGGAAAAGTCATAACTTTTCATAGTTCATTTTCATTATTGAATATATTAATGCAATTTATCGTGAAATGACAAAGAATATTTATCGTCACAGGCCGTTAAAATTCATTTTGAGTCACAATAATCAAACAAAAATGCCCTTAGATCTTGGACGGACTATATTCCGATTAGGTGAAAGGGAAGTGCATGAGTTTTTGTACGTTACGCAGTTTTTATGCAGTTGGATTTATTTTGTGTGAAGCCTCCGTTTCTGTCACAAACCGCGTTGAACCAAATCGGTATCTACTGATTTGCTTTTGCTCAGAAACACGTGAAAGGCTTCGTCTTTGTCACACATGTGCGGAGATGCTGCGCGCACTAAAAACCTCTGCATACATCAGCACTGCTCACATACAGCGTCTAACATTCACTCTCTCTGTGCATTCAGCCTGAGCACGGTGAATGTAATTCCCAGGAGAGTTTCCTCTGCTCTAAATCATCGTTTCCAATTTCCATGTTTCTAAAAGGTCAGGGAGTTTCTCTCTCTGGATTTTACCGGTGCACTGAGCCAGACGCTATATATTATACATTAAAGTTTCGACAGCAGCAGCACTGCGGAGAGGAAGCCTATTAAAACCGAGCAGCGGAGTGATTTCATGTCTTTGAACAATGTTACAGGAGTTGGTTTTGTTCCATTTATAGCGCAGCCGGTGAGATCCTTAATGAATGGCTTATGTCATAGTTCGGATGAGACTAAGTGGTTCGACACTTCAGGACGCCAGAGACGGGTCAGCGGGTGTGGATGCCTTATGCAACGAGCCAGTTAGGTTGACCCAATTATTCTGACCTGGGAATCATCAAATGTCTTTGCTTCATCGCTCTGAACCCATCTCGCAAGTGAGTCACCCACCTGCGAGCTATTTTTGCCTCTGGCTGGGTTTTCTAACGTATGTATTTCCGTGTTGTTTGCACCTGCAGTATCCACACTTCCTCAAGAGGGACGCCAACAAGCTTCAGATCATGCTGCAGCGGCGGAAGCGATACAAGAACCGCACCATCCTGGGATACAAGACGCTGGCCCTGGGCCTCATCAACATGGCCGAGGTATCACAACTTGGTTCAGCTATCAAGCGGTATACATGGATGTATTATCCATGGCGCTATACCAGTGAAATGATGTTTCTTCATTCAAGAAATAGAGGCAGTTTTACTAAAATACAATTTACTGTATCTTGTTGCTTTGTTGTGTTATCAGGGCTTATTATTCTCTATTTTCTTATTCTTCGTTTTTATTATTAGAAATAGTTAATACAGTAAATCAAATTTAAAAAATAACACCTGAAGCACAAACTCTACTGTTTTTTAACTCAACTAGGGTCTACAATGATTATTCTATTTTTATTAGCTCGTCAGTTTAATCAATAAAATGTTTAGTCTATAAAAGTTATGGAAATTTACCCATGACAATTTCAACAGTTTAAAACTCATAAATATTCAGTTAACTGTGACATAAGCTGAAGAAAAATGAGCAAATACTCACAACTGAGAAGCTGAAATGAGAATCTTGACTTCCTGTCCTTGTTTCAAGAGGATGTAATTTGCTGTAAAGAACGATGAACAGCGTCTCGTTGCAGCTGCAAACAAAAATTTTGGATTCATGCGGACACAAGCTGCAATCGAAAATGGGCTTGAATTAATCTGCTGCTGTAAAAAAAAACAAACTAACAACAAAAAGCAGCATGAAACGACACAGCACAGAGCGACTGCACTTTAAAGTGTTGTCCAAACGAATGGACTCATTGACGTTTGCAGGAGAGATGGAGGAAAGGCTTCATGCATCCACACAAAGCTCCTTGTTACAACTCCCCCCGGAAGATTTTTGTGTATTTTCAGCAGCGAGCACCTCCACAGCAGCAGATGGAGGTTAAGCTGCGTATCTGAGGGCACGTCAGCTGTGAGTTGTTGAGTCAGCGGAGTCTCATCCTTTTCAGCCGGACAAATGTCCCTGCTGATCTGAGCTGTTGACCCAACAAACTACCGGTCCCAGGCTCATTTCCCTAAACATGCAGCCTCTGCCTCCTGCTTCCTTCCAATCTGAGTTTAACTTCATTTCACTAAGTGTCGTCACGACCTAATATCTTCTCTCACGCTGCTTCTCATGCAGATCTGTCATTTCACATTTCCTCCATCATTCAGAGAATTTTATTCACAGCGGTTGCCTTTTGAAACTTATTTAGCGCTAACCTTCATCTAAACTCATTTCAAGCGAGTGCACTTTAAAATCAAACTCGGATTTTGATCTTTGGCCTAGCGTTCTCTTCTCCGCCACCATAAATGGCACCATAAATCAAACATCCCATTAAATTTCAGTCTCTTCTGCCAAAAGCTTCTTGCATTCTCTGTCTCCCACAATAAGAAGTCATTTTAAAAGGGTTGTGATTTATGGTCTGTGTGTGTTAGCGAACTTGGCCGTGCACACAGTGGCTCTCACGTGGTGGCTTTCATAGGATTGGTCTGTGAGTGAAGTCGGAATTATTTACAGAATAACACACCTCACCGCAAAACACTTTACGAAGAGAAAAAGACATAAACACAGAGATGAACACACAGAGTTCATCAAGAGGCAGGTTTGGTTTCCAGAACGACAGTTAGTTGAGTCTCTTATCAGAAGCAAATGAAACAAAATCCAATAGTAGAATAAGCTGGTGTAGTACAACCCTAAGGCAAAATGCCAGACCTGATGAAAAGGCTTCTTTATCTAAAATAGTGTGCCGCAGTTTGGTGATGCCTTCTGGCCGTCTGTCCCTGCATGTAAAGTAAAGTCAAATTTTATTCATGAGGTCTGTTTCCACAGACAGGTTGGCTGCAAAGTGCCTCGCAGAGGGCAAAGGACACAAATGCAGACTCATGCGCACCAAAAGCTTCAGACTCATTTCCTTGGCAGCCACAGCGAAACAAAGTGTTTGCATATTCTGCCTGGAGCTCTGTGTGTGTGTGTGTGTGTGTGTCGGAAAGATAATATGCTAAAGGGGACACACTCGGGTTTTCAGTTGGTACATTCTCATTCGAAGTCGCAAAGAAATGTCATTTTGAAGGCATTGTGTTTCTTTAATATGACAGGTAGTTTCCACTGACCCAGCAGGGACTGCGAGGATGAACTGTTGAACCTTGGAAATTCAAAAATGCTTTGCCTGTAAATTTGAGATGTTATCAAAGTGAAACCTTGAAAATTTTCCATCACGTTTAACTTCGACATCCTAAAATGTAGTATGAAGCTGAATTTGTTTTTGTTATCAGTCATTCTTTTCTCTTTCTGCAGTGGTCCAAAACCAGCCAAGTATTTCATTTAGCATCATATATGATGAAAAAAAAAAAAACAAGTAGTAATTTCTGAAATTTGAGAAGCTGAAAATGTTTGTGGCAACTATAAATCCTGCTGAACAGTAACACAAGCAGACGGGAGACAGTTAGCTAACATTAGCCGCACTAAGCTCAAACTAGAATAAATAATGCTGTAGCAGCAAAACCCCTGAGCGTATTTAGTTGAACAGTTATTAATTGCACCTTTCACCCATAAGAGACATGTTTTTCTTCTTTCAAAAGTTCCATAGTGTGGCAGCTTTAAAGCGTTGCTAATACACACAGTATAGACTGCAAACTCCACAACAAATTGTGTCACTTAAAGTCACAGGTTTCCTCTAATGTCACTGGAGGGAGGTTGTTATTTGATGTTATTTCTAGTTGTTATTTTTAAGTGCCCCATGATATCACCACTAAAAGTCCATTATTTTTCAAGAAGTAGAAGTGGGTGAGATTAGATGAAAATGATAAGGTTTAAAATGTTTTTGCCTGGTTGCTTCTGCTTTTCCGATACTGAGACAAAGTCATTTCTAATTCAGTGAGACGTTAAAGCAATAGCACTTCATTGTTTATGTAACCAGCACTCATAAGTCTTCAGTAATCAGAGGCTTGTGCTGCCTGTTTGTCTCTCTTGCAGTCTCACACTCCCTGACATGATTTAATAATGCAACATCATGTAATTTTTTTGTTTTTCCATTTAACTAGATTTGCATAACTTCTCGCTGCTGCTTCTCTGCCACCCGGAGCACCTAATGCTGTGCAGTAATGGAGAGAGAAAATAGTCCCATTTAAAAGCCGTAATTATCTGTGTGATAAAAGTATATTTTAGGAAGGAATTCACTGCATGCTGTTCGACGTGATGCATTCCATTAGTCATGGCAGTAGCAGTAGTTTAGCCCTTTTTAAAATGAATTTTAAAAAGCTGTCGCAGGGTTTCAGGACATGAACCTGGAGTAAATCCGTCAGTGGATTTAGTCTCTTCGTGGATAAAATCGGCAATAGAGAAAAAAAAGTAAAATTAAAGCAGTTTCTCATGAATATGCACATTGCATCTTCGTGATGTTTGCCTTGTCAGATTTGCATAATTGTCTCTCTGACTGGAAAATGGTTGAAATTAGCAGCTGCAGGAGCTTTTAGAAAGCTGCCGCTCGAATCATGTGCAGCAGGTTAGCTGAACCTCATCCAGCTGAATGGATGTATAGCACTATTGTCTCTCCTTAATGTGTGGCTCAGGCTGTCTCCATAATAAGCTGCTCAGACTTCATTAACTACGTGAGTGTGACCAGACTTGCTGAGAGAGGCTGGGTGTCATTCATTTAGATACACAAACACACTCTCACAAACACACTCTCTCACACACACACACAAACACAGGAGAGACGTGACGCTGCTGTTTGCTGCAGCCGCAGAGCCAAAACGATTTTTTTGCTGCCTCACATGTTCGCGTTTTATCCGTTGTCGTCGTCGTCGGTCTTTGATTATGTTAATCCCTGACTGCTATTTTTGTTTATCTTCTTCAGCCTCCTTTCTTTTCTTTTTTTGCCTCCTTGTTCCGTTATCATCCTCTCCTCGACATCTGCTCCTCGTCTGCCCTCATTTCTTCTCCTGCTGCTGTCTAACCTGTCTCTCTCTGTATGTCTCTGTCTGCAGAGCCGTCAGTCTCTCTGGTCTGACTCCTCTTTCTCCTCTTCCTGTGACGCTATTTTAATCATGTGTCGTCCGCTGTTTATCCCCGCTGTGTGTATAGACAGACCATGATTAAAATGATGCATCTCATCCAAGAAAGCAGTTGCTTTTCGGCAATGACAGGATTTTATTCAAACCACATACAGTGTGGGCACATCCATACATGACACAGAATGCCTCCTTATTCTCAACAGATCTTTTTATGTACTCATGTAGAGGTAGGTAATGAAAAATGCTTCTATCATGATATGAGACTAGTTAATATCTAGGATGCTTGATATCATGATATACCTTAACTATTGTCTTTTCCTGGTTTTAAAGGCTTTTTCCTCATGACTCAATGAAATAAAAGCAAATTATGCGAAATTACCATTCAGACAAAAACATTACCATATTTAACTTTATGCTGCACCCAGACGAATATGTTCACATGTTGGCCTGAGCTTCTTAAAGCCCTGGGCTCTCTGGATAAACAGATTGAAAACTACAGCCTCCTTCTTCCAGGTGATGCAGCATCCCAGTGAAGGCGCCCAGGTCCTGGGGCTGCACAGCCAGCTGAAGGACGCCTCGGTGCCCGTCGCTGAGGTCAGAGTCTACTCCCTGTCCAGCCAGCCCATCGACCACGAGGGGCCCAAAGCCAAAATGTCCGGTAAGCACTTCACCTTTCCACCACTTCTGTCTCTCTCTCTCTCTCTCTCTGTGTGCTTCTGTCAGACTGTCCCGATGACATGGTTTGTCTTATGCTTCTGTCTCTGCAGATCGCTCCCCTGACATTGACAACTACTCTGAGGAAGAGGAGGAGAGCTACTCGTCTGAACAGGAGGGCAGCGATGATCCCATTCACGGGCAGGTGTGTTTGAATCAGGGCCATAACGAACGATGATTTTAGTACTTGATTAATCTCATGGTAACTCTCGCCTTCATGAGTCACTTTGTCAACGTAGGAAGAAGTGTAAATAAAGATTTGTCCTGAAAATGCCCTGTGATCTATGGCTTAAGGTAGCTCTGTGCTAGCATTTGCTGACATCTGTTTATTGCTCAACAGCAGTTTTTTTTGCTAAATATGGTCATTTATTTTTTATGATGTCATAAATAAATATTGTGTTTTCAGTGGTTTTACATTGTGATTTAAGGTGCTAAAATCATTCAAGCAGCACAGATCATAAATTATCTGCGTTTAAAGCTTCGTAAAGTATCAAAATGTGTCAAATCAAGTTCTATCCATTTTGATTAATACACAATATAAAACATTATATATACTTTACTGAACATAATTGGTCCATGGGAAAATGTTCTCCCCAGGTACATGAGGTACAATAGGTTATTAGAGCAGAGAGAAAGCAGCCAGAGAAACGAGCTGCATCCTGAGTTTTGTCCCATTTTCTTCTTCATTCACTTCTGCTACAGAACTTGAAAGAACAGGCGACAAAATTCACAAACAAATTGGTGTGAGCATCAGTCGAGAGCTTGTGTTTGTGCGCGCGCGCGTGTGTGTGTGTGTGTTACCTTCTCTCTCTCGGATTATGAGAGTGAAAGTGACAGGGCTCTGGGGATGCGAGGGGGAATAGGCGCCCATCGGTGCGAGAGATTGGAGGCGAGAGTGAAAGGAGCAAACAGGCAGCAGAGAGAGATAAGAAGGGAGCAACAAGGCTTTGGAGGCCGGATTGAAGAGGGTGAAAGGAGGGATGGAGGGAAGCTGAGCGGCAGGAAGGAGAATAAAGAGGGAGCTGGGCAGTGGGACAGGTGTGAGGAGACTGACTGCAGGACTGAGGCAGTGAGCTGAGAGAGGATGGAGGGAGACGGGTCACTGCTGGTGCTCAGCTCTTTACGACTTGGATCATGTTTCTGTTGGTGATGATAACACTGTAGTCACTAAGATAGCTGCTTTAAAATTATCATCTAAACTGTCTGTAAACTTAACGCCCCCGCACTTGCAGCAGTGTGTTTTGCAGTGAATGATTATTACCGACATTTTGTGCATTGACTTTTGGATTTACCTCAAACTAAACTAAAACAGTCGACTTGTAAACAACTTGTGTAACCGTCTAACTGCTAATGTTTCTTGGCACTCTTGCCTTTTGTTGCTGCAGTGTCGCCACACCTCAGTGATGACTTTAAAGAGCCACATGGTTATCATAACACGAAAAGAAACGATTTCCAAAGCTCTGAAATTAAAGAATAAGGCTGATGTTGTTATACGTTTTCAATAATGAAAAGACCAAACCTAATGATACGGTTCGTCTGAGTCTCTCTACGTTCGGACTTCTCTAACTTGTCTGCAGTGCCTCAGATCTAATAGAGATATAAGTCTTTCAAGATGATTCACACACATGTAGCTTCAATTTTAAAGAAGAAAAAGACCCTGTAGGGTAATGTAGTTCTTAGCAGACTGAACTCAAACTGGATGAATTAATGCATTTGTTGCGGACTATTTTAAGCTGCGGTTTAATACACATTTGCATTAGTGTGTATGTACAGAAGCAGGACAGTAAACTGTATGTGGAGAAGATAGTGCACATGTCATCAAGTGCAGGTTTTGGAAAGTGGAAGCTCACAGACAATATTTGTTAGTCAGATCTTTTCATTGTGGGTTTGTTTACAACAAAAAGACTATTGCTAGCCCTGTCCTTTAAAACCTACATGTTAATAACCCAGAACTAACCTTCAAAACATTGTTTGAAACACCTCTCTCTTTATGTTCTCCACTTCCTCTCTCTGTCTCTCTCTCTCTCTCTCTCTCTCTCACAGTATCTATATGATGAAGAAGACGAGGTGAGGAAGAAGAAGCCGAGGCGTAAGCTGCCCTCCAATGCCGCCATCACTAGAGTAAGAAAAACACGTCTTTTGCCTCACCTCATTCATCCATCCTGATCGCTCTCTCTCTCTCTCTCTCTCTCTCTCTCTCTCTCTCAACCTGCTTGTTATTTCTGTAAAGCAATTTGCAGCAAACCAGCTTCGTGAAAAAGCCCTTTCAAATAAATTTGATTCGACTGGACTCCCCAACCCTCCCCCTCATCTCCCTCTTGCCTCACCTCATTCAAACCCCCCCCCCCCCCCTCTCCCCCTTGCCTCACCTCATTCAAACCCCCCCCCCCCCTTATCTGCTCCCCGCTCTCGCTCGCTCGCTCGCTCGCTCGCTCCCTTCTCTTTTGCTGGTTTCTCTATAAATCCATTTTCTCCCTCTCGCTCTTGATGCATGTAACTCAGGCCAATTTTCTGGGGGGAAAACATTGAGACAACTCACCACAATGACCCGCAATAACACTAACCACATCCTGGGATGCATGTACACACACACACACACACACACACACACACGAACATATACAAGACTCTGCAGGGACACAGATTAATACACAGGATTCTCTGTAAACATGAAAATTACAGTGGACCTGCAATGTGACAGAAGGAAAGCAGTGTGTTTGGATTATGTGTGCCTGCGTGTCTGCGTGTGTGTGTGTGTGTGTGTGTGCATGTGTGTGTGAGTGTGTGTGTGTGTGTGTGCATGTGTGAGTGAGACTAGCAGCAGGCATTTGTCTCAGCAGGTTATTAATGGAGCGCTCCTGTGGAGGTCTCAGTGAGACTGTCACTGCTGCTCCCCAACACCACTGCCTGTGGACAACACACACACACACACACACACACACACACACACACGCAGCCATAATTTCTGCAGTAGAAGAACACACACACGATCATAAATACACAATCAAACACGATTACAACATTATAACACAGAGTCTACCTTCATCAAAAAGACGCTGTTCAATCCAGTGAAACATTCAGGTGATCGAGGGTGAAGAGAAAAACTGGAGAGAAATGAGCTTTTAATTGTAAACCAGAGTCCCTTTAAATAAGTACGGATGAACTACAGTGTTCGCACTGCAAATCTCTTGTTTCTTGTTTTTCTTGCTTTTCTGCCACTTTTGATATTCAAAAAAACATTCGGATGTCTCTGAATTTTAATTTTTTTATTTACTTTATATATAAGTAAAGTAAAAAATGGAAAATAATGAGGTTTGTCATCTACTTTTTACACACATTTGCCCTTTTACTTCCCAAGCTTTCTCCTGCACGCACAGGATGGTGAATGGTGACGTCCGATTATGAAGTATCATTCTGTCAACAACAATCAGGATCCGCGTGAACTTTGTCTCTGGGAAAAATTAGTAAAGGCCACTTTGATCGGCCACAATTTCAAGTCATCTTATCGTAATGCAGCGAGGATTTTAATGTGAATAGAGGTGGAGTCCACAGTGAATTACACTGTAATTATATTAATATGACATAGTTGTCATTCAAGTTTAAGAAGAGGTAAAAAGAAATATTGGAACTATTATGATTATAAACTTAAAATGGCTGTAGTCAGTATTTTCTCAACAATATACAAAATGGAAATGTGCAAACAATGTGACAGTGTGATGCTACAGGGAAATATCACCTGAATCTGCAGCTCCCCTCCGCTACCTCAGCACTACCTGCTCAGCCAAGTTATTTCCCTCAGGAGTCGGTGGAGACCAAAAACAGAGCGGAAAATCAAGTGCGTATTGGACTTGGATTCATCAGGTGGCCAGAAACATGACTCCAAATGAATGATAAGCAACTGCTTTCTCTTAAGTTCAACAAACATCAGTTTTTGCAGGTTTAAATAAAGTTTTATAACTACTTTAAGTAATTCATGCAGTTGAAGATCCGATTTATAGAATAAAACAGCTCTGGCTCGCAGTCTTATTTTCCACTCTTTTTTGCAAATGTCATGCACAGTAAATGAATTTTGAACCACCAAGCTGAGAGAAAAAACCTTGAGCTGCTGATAGATTTTACTTTCACTATACCTTCCTTTTCTAATTACTCATCTTGTTATACGAAAAAACAAATCTTTTGTGCTTATTCAGGCAAACATCTGCTTGTGGACTTGATATCCCAGATAACATATTCCATTTTAATAGCACAAGATGCATTCACAGCCCCAGCCTGCACAGAGATATCTGCATGGGTAACACTTTAACTTTATGTGACATGCAGAAATATGTCCAGACGCTGAATCCATTAACTGTTGTTGTTTTGAGTCATCAAGCGTGAAAAGAGAGCTCAGAAATTACCGATATATCTCGCTCCTGTCATCTCTTTCTACGCCGCGCATCTCCTCTCCCTCGCGCGCACGCACACACACACACACACACACACACACACACACACACACTCTCAGGGATATGAACATTAATCTCTCACGTTGTCCTCCTTTTTCTTTCCCCCCTGTCTTCTTTCTCCACAGCAACCCAACATCAAGCAGAAGTTTGTCGCCCTGCTGAAAAGGTTTAAAGTCACTGATGAGGTAGGCGCCGCATTCCTCTCCCCTCCTCCTCCTCCTCCTCCTCCTCCCCCCATGGCCTCTCTCCCCTCCCGATATCACTCGCAGATCTACACATCTGCACTTCTACTTCATGCGCGGGGTTCAGAGGGCGTATTTGCTTCAGAGGTGTTGCTGAAGTCAACACGTATTTCAGTTGAGCTTTGAAAACACAGAGAGGTGTGTGGGAGAGATGTGGCAGAACAACTGAGATTCAGCTGGAAGCTCAAAAAAAAAAAATAAGAAAAATAAGAAAAAGACAGCACTAAACACCATAGATTAAAATAGAACAGAAATGTGTCTGTTTAATGTGTGTATGTGCTTCTGGAGTCGATCCATCAACCACAGTGTGTGTGATTGATCTCACACTGCTCACATTTGTGCATTTGAGTCTCTTTGCATATGTAAATGTATGTGTGTATTTCTCTAGCTGGCTGGTTGTCTTCTGCGTGTCTGTATTTAGACTTTGCAAGACGCTTTTTAAAAAAAAAATAAATAAATAAAAGTAGTGTATCTTTCAAGGTCAAAGTTCATTCTTGACCTCAGACTGAGCAGCTGACAAAACGACCCCACCCCAGGACTTAGTGTGAGCCAGAGCCCTGCGTTTATGTTAATTAGATAAGTATCTGGTATTGTTACTGTGACGTGTATCTGTGTGTGTGTGTGTGTGTGTGTGTGTGTGTGTGTGTGTGTGTGTGTGTGTGTGTGTGTGTGTGTGTGTGTGTGTGTGTGTGTTTACATGCACAAAGAACATCATGTTGATCCAGTTTTAGTTTGGTGCATTGAAAGTGCCATAACTGGGCTACAGAATCCAGGTTAAAACATGCGCTGTCTGCTGAACCGCCTGACTCGGCTCTGAAACTAAACAGGTTACTGTGGCATGTAAACATCTCTCTTCTTTCATTTTTACCGCCTGTGAAATCTCAGACTTGCAAAGCCTTGTGGGTACATTCCCGTGTCAACAGCACGAACTGACAGTCAGCTGTGTTTAGCATTAAATGCTGGGATCAACACATTTCTCCCCGACATATTTTTGCAACATTTATGTGTGAACAGAACAGATGGGGAACAAAAGCACAAGACACCTTGTGTCCATCGGTCACCTTGTCTTCTCTGCGTGTCTTCCAGGTTGGTTTTGGTCTGGAGCACGTGTCCAGGGAGCAGATCCAGGAGGTGGAGGAGGACCTGGACGAGCTCTACGACAGCCTGGAGATGTACAACCCCAGCGACAGTGGGCCGGAGATGGAGGAGACCGACAGCATCCTCAGCACACCCAAACCTAAGCTAAGGTAACAGCACCGGCAAAGACATGATAATAATAGTATCCGCACACCCACCATACACCAAACACGCACAAACACACACTTGCTGCCTCACCCACACACACATTTGGTGCTGTGTGTTTCTCGGTTCCAACAAAACTGATTGGACTCACTTTTTGTCCATCGACACCTCAGAGCCCCATCTGCTGGTGAAACCTGCTCATTACAGTAATACGTTTAAGGCGTCACAGGAGCCAGGATTGAGTTAGTCAACTTTGAATTTGTCAAAATGCAAATATAAAAAAAAAAAAACTCCAATGTCCAAATATTTTTTTTTAAAAGAAATATCATTCCTAATATATTATATTAATTAACATTTCTTTAAAGCGTAGGTTTAAGAAGGAAAGTCAGTTTCCTAAAGTGAAATTATAATCAGCTTTTGTTTAAAAAGACGTCTGAAAGCATTTCATTTTAAATTTACATTTAAAAACTCTTCGTTACAACCCAGAAAAACTCATTCTCTGGATGTTTCAAACCATTTTTAAATGCCTTATTTATGTTACTACTCAATCTATTTCTCTCTTCTTTCTATTTCTATTTTTTTTTCTTGATTTCAGTAGCCTCAAAAGCACTTTTACACAAAAGGCACTATTTGAAGGACAGCCTTTATAAGTGGTGAAGGTAGTGGACATGTAATAAATGAAGGAGCTACACTATATAAATTAACGTAATGTGACTCATACGTTAATGATAAATGGCTCGTTGTCTGTTTTCCTGTCATCAAGGTAAGTATATTTTCGTTTTAGAAATCAAGAACAAAAAGATGATTTAAGAAACACACACAACTTGAATAATGTCTTCTTATGTCGCTGTGTGTGTTCAGGCCATTCTTCGAGGGGATGTCTCAGTCGAGCTCGCAGACGGAGATCGGCAGTCTGAACAGCAAAGGCAGTTTGGGCCGAGACACTTTCAGTCCAGTGAGTAACTGTGATTCATGAGGAAGCAGCAGCAGCTTCACAGACAAATGTAGAGAGACTAAGTAACTAATTCAGTTTGTTTGGAGGCTCTACAGATTGTTTCCTCAGCTGGATTAAGTATAAATTCAATCCATTGTTTTTAGTAAACACATTTTCCTCCCTTAGTTTCTATAAGGTTGTTGTTTTTTCTTATGTATTTTAGATTTTATACAATGGAAAACATTTTATGCAACATGTGAAATGTTGCTGTAATCATTTCTGATGCTGTCATAATGCGTTCACTTCATTCATTCATTCAGCACTAACCTAACACAAGTGTTAACAGTAGTAACAACAAGTGTTTCACACTCACAGTTGACAGGTGGCATAAATATCACACAGTAACATGAAATAGTGTCATAATACACCATTGAAAAACAACATGAGACTCCACATCGATGTAGTAAATATCCAGAATATGAAGCTCATGAATATCAGCGCAGCAGGCGGGCCCGTTGCGAATATGAAATTTCGGGAAAGTTTGCGACTAACGTTTCCTTAATGGAGCAGAAATCCAATAGCTCTGTGGCAGTCGCCATCTGCTCAATAAAAAGTGTTGAGCCTCACCGAGCTGAATAGATTTCACTGGATGCTTCTGCTGCATTCAAACAGCTGCAGTTCTCCCTTTCATGGTAATACTGAAACAGGCCTGCAGTGTTGTGACTGCAGTCTGCACGCTTTCTAAAAACATCTTTTTAGAAGAAAAGGCGGCTTTCGCTTTCGTCAGTGGTTTTGAAATACTTTATATGGTCCAGAGAAAACTACTACCTTGTTTTTTTTTAGACTGGTTATGATGTTCTTCCTCAAAGCTGAGCACTGTGGCTGCAGAATGACTTTTTGTTTTCCAATATGGGCTCTCATTAAGCCTGTAGACTGAGAGGCTCTCCCTTGTTTTCCCAGCAGGGGGAGCAGCCTCCTTTAGAGAAGATGAAACTCTCCCGCAGCCGCAACCTGGAGGAGGCCCTGTCTGAGACAGACACACTGGTACGACTCTTATAATGCATGTCTGAGTGTGTGTGTGTGTGTGTGAGAGAAGAAAAGTGAATTAATGGTGTGTCGGTATCTTTGTTAATATCACTCTGAGGGGGATTCGCTGCCATCTGTGCTTTAAGTGAGACAGATTGAGAGACGGAGAGAGGGGGAAACAAAATGAAGACGTGTCGGAGACGATGGCTTTAGGATTGCCAGTATCTCCTTTCTTTGACACTGACAGTCTGTCTTTTGGACTGTGTGTGTGTGTGTGTGTGTGTGTGTGTAGGAGCTAACAGATCAGGAGCTGTTTGCTGAGGTGGGCCCCTGCATCATGGTGTCAGAGGCAGAGAAACCCCGTACACCCATGAAGAGCAGCAAAATCGAACCGCAGACCATGCCGTCACCAAGGTAACAAATAACCCAAATTTAAAAAAAAAAAAAAAAAAAAATCAATAAACTGATAAATGTCATTTATTTATCTATGTTTTTTTTCTATTTATGGCTCAATCTTTGGAGACGAGGACTTATGATTCTTCTCTCCAGAGATCACTCCTCAGTTGTCTTTGAGTTTTGTGTTGATGCACTTTTCTTTGTCCGTTCAGCCATGATGGTTATCACTGCTCACGCTAACCACCTACGTCTCCTTCCAGCTGTTTCAATCCGGTGTTGCTCTTGTTAATAATGTGTCTAAAATATACCAAAAAAAAGGCAGAGTTTCCTGTAGGATAGACATAACTCATATTGGTTTTATTGGGACAGAAATGTACAAACTTTAATGAACTGACTGGTTGCTGAAAAAAATGTTTTACGGCTTTAAATGACATTTGAGAGAAGAACCAACACAGTCACTAAAAGGGTGAATTCATACACAATAAAAAAGCCCTTCTCACTTTAGTACATTGAGGGGTTTTACTGATACAACCTTTCGTCCTCTGGTTTGACCACTAGCTTATATTGGCTACTGTTACCGTAGCAGCCATTTCTGAGTCAGTTTGCTGACTTTATTACTTAGGTCTCATTTCCCTCGCCCTCAGGCACGTCACCCAGTGATAGCATCTTAAAGGCAGCTGACTCTAAAGGATCTTGGGAATGAATGGAAATTCAATCTGACATTTCCTGTAGTCGCCATTTGTTGGCACTGGACGTTCAACAAGAATTATGATCTCACTTTATGCTGAAACAACCCACACGTCAGAAGCACTATACCAAATGAATCACACCTGTGGGTGCAAGGTCGCCGTGAGTGACGCACACACACTCGCATTTTTTCAGCTGGCTGGGAAGGAGAAACACAAAGCCCGCCTTCACCACCAAGTGACAGTAAATGTTTAAAGGTTTGCTTTCATTCATAAAACTCCAAACATTTGTTGTTGGTGCTGACAGGTGGAACAGTCAACTTGCTCTTGCCCAAGTCATGGCAGAAGTTGAAACATGTTGTGAGCTCAGTCCTGTAAACTTAAATCTCTTTTTAACCATAATGTCCGTTTCTTTCCTCAGGCTGGACGGAGGCCACACGCCCCGACAGAAGCGCATCAGCACTCCCATGAAGGAGAGACAGTTGTCCAAACCTCTGAGTGAACGCACCAACAGCTCGGACTCAGAGAGATCCCCGGAGCTGGGCCACAGCACGCCGGTACGCCACTGAAAGACGACAACTCCCTGTCAAAATTAACATTTTAATAAAGACATTTTCCCTCCTTCCAGGATCTTATCATAAGCCGTAGCACCGTTTTAATCCAGCACACAAAAATAGATCGGCATTTTGCAGTACTCCCACAGAGGGATTTACACTTTAAAAGAAATGCTGCTTTTGTTCTGTGTCCATTTCTAGCTGCTCCCTTCTTGTCTTCTCCCCAAGTAAAGAACACACATGCATCCTGATAATGTCTGACGCGCCTGGAGCTAAGGAATGAATTATGCATGTGCTGATGAGTCATCTGGAGAGTAAATGCATCGCTGCAGGAGGGGTTTATGTACTCTGTATATATGTGTGTGTGTGTAGGTCCTGAGGAAGGTGGTGTACGACCAGCTGAATCAGATCTTGTTGTCGGACTCTGCGCTCCCAGAGAGTCTAATCCTAGTCAATGGAACAGACTGGCAGGGGCAGGTATGTGTGTGTGTGTGTGCGTGTGAAGCCTGTCCATATTTAAGAATAACCTTATTTTGTCGGTTGTTTTTTTCATCATCCATAATATTTTTTGTGTGTGTGTGTGTGTGTGTGTGTGTGTATTGCAGTATGTTGCAGAGCAGCTCCAGGTCCAGAGACACCCGGTGGTCTGCACGTGTTCGGCGGCCGAAATCCAGGCGGTGCTGTCTGCTGTGCTCACCCGCATCCAGAAATTGTGAGTTTTTATAAGATAACATTTGCGTGCATACACACACACACACACACACACACACACACTCTGAGTTAGAGCTTCCCTCGGTTTGCAGGATGACTCATCTTCTTCGTCTTTTGCCCTGCTCTGAGCCTTATCTTTCTGTTTTCTGTCCTTCGTTTGACCCGTCTCTCTTCTCTGCATCTTTTCCTCTCCTCCTTTTTGCTCTTATGACTCCACATCTGTAGCTCTACTTCTGTTTATTCAAAACAACACTTAATACCTCCCTCATCTCTGTTTTATTGACATGACATTTGCCAAAACATTTACAATAAAAGCAATGACACAAACCGGTTAATACTGTAAGAGAATAAAGAGAATGAGAATCATTTCACAGTTTATCTTGTGCCCCTCCAGTCTGACTGTACAAATATATTTATGTCAGAACTATTGAGTATTAGCTAATAATAAATAGATTAGTCAACTGCCAGAAAATTATTCACCAAATATCTTATAATTAAATAATAAATTTGAACATTAAATTTTTTCATTCACTATTCAACACTCACTATTTTCAGCTTCCTAAATGTAAGGAGTTGCTTCTTTTGACTGTTTTCTGTGACTGTAAATTGAGTGTGTTTGGGGTCTTGACTGTAGGTTCAAGAAAAACATCACTTTGACCTTTGGGAGACAAATTTCACGGTTTTCCAACATTTTTTTTTTTTTTTTAGACTAAACAGTTGAGGAAATGTGTGTCAACGTTTGGGTGTAGGTGGTGACAGTGGTTACAGATGTGTTCCTCTGACAGTTTCATACAGCATCGTCTTCTCGGGTCACGGTCACCCGGTCTGTATTTTGTTAAGTTTGGTTTTGGTTCAGATTTATTCACTTTTCGATGTCCTGCCAGCTGGATTTCTCTCCTCAGGCCTGATGGCTGCGTGATTTGTTTTCTTGTCTCCACTGTTTACTGAAATCTTTCATCAGGTGGTTTTTCAAAAGCTTTGATGGATGAGATGGTGTGAAGAAGTTCCAGTGGACCCACCTCCACGCAGCAATGATAACATCACTCTCTCTCTCTCTCTCTGTGTCCCTGCAGCTGTAACTGTAACTCGTCCATGCCCAGAGCGGTGAAGGTGGCGGCGGTGGGTGGTCAGAGTTACCTCGGAGCCATCCTGCAGTTCTTCGTCACTCAGCTCGCCAACAAAACGTCTGACTGGCTCAACCACATGCGCTTCCTCGTGGTGCCTCTGGGTAAGAGAGTCAGCTGGTGTTTCCATGGTGACTGATAAGCTCTTGCACAGTGAGGCGTGGTTGTATTTTGTGTGCGTACTGACTGGTCTCCATCATCTTCCTCATCAGGCTCCCATCCGGTTGCCAAGCACCTCGGCGCCCTTGACAACCGCTACAGCTCCTCTTTCCTGGACGGGTCGTGGAGAGACGTGTTCAGCCGCTCCGAGCCGCCGCCAACAGGTACCACCTGTCACACAGACACACTCATCACTCAGCACACACACACACACACACACACACATTTGCCCTTGTCCGTGAGTGAATTTCCTCGTCCTCTGTTATCTCCAGACCAGCTGGATGTCGCGGGAAGAATCACCCAGTACATCAGCGGCGCCACTGTCACACATCAGCTGCCCATCGCCGAGGCCATGCTCACCTGCAAACACAGGACGTGAGTACGGATGCTAACAAACACCAGCCAGACTGTCTCACAAAGGAGCGCTCAAAACAAAAAAACAACACAGCATTTATTTATTTAGTTGAATATGTTTTCTTTAATATTCTCTCCTCTCTCTCTCTCTGTCCAGGCGAGACGAAGACTCTTACCAGAAATTCATTCCTTTTATTGGGGTAAGATTTTGGTTTAGGCTGCCAAGAGATTGAGATTGATGCTGAGCGTTTCCTTTTTTTTGCTGACATCTGTTCCTGTTTTCCAGGTAGTGAAGGTTGGTCTCATTGAGTCTGGTCCTTCTCCAACAGGTGATTATTTCGAAACACACCGAGCACCAAAGTGAAAGATTAAATTGTTTGGATTTATAGCAGTTGGTAACGTGCTAATGTTACTCCTGTTTTAATGATTAAGGAGATACAGAGGAGGGCGTGGCTGTGAGTTTGGCCGTCCCCTCCACGTCTCCTCCGTCCCACGGCTCCCCCACAGGGATGATTAAAGAGGCGGCCACTCCCCCCTCCTCCCCTTCCATGGGCAGCGTCCTGACAGTACAAGGGTAAGACTGACCTGGACTGTTTATTTTTCCTCCTCTCTTTCTCTTTCCTCTCAGTTTCTCTTCTTTTGCCTACTCATTGCTCATTTCCCAACATCCGTCACACATCACCCACTGCAGCAGTAAAACAAAAAACAAAAGGAGTTAATTACTACCCTCAAATCTTAAAAGTACCACTACTACAGCAAATGTAGAAGTTTTAGCAGTGAAATGTTTGTAAGTATAGAAATAAAAAATGTACAAATTATCATCTATCTCTGAATGTAAAATCATTAATTTGTTGATGTTGTCAGTGTTACTGTTTCAAGTAAAACTACAGCTGATGCATCATATTGTAAAATTGTGCCTTGCATAGTAACTGGTAGCTGCAGCTTAGCTGGAAATACTTTACAGGGGTGAGTTATCATTACCTGAGACTCTGCTAATAATGTCTGAGATCTGAAGTAAATATACATGTACTGTCTACACCCGCTCTTTTCACCATATCTGTATTTTGATCTTCATCGTCTCTAAGTTTTATCTTCAGCTTCCTGGAATTAACGGTGCATTACCTAGAAGTGTTAACATTGTCTGTTGTGGCAACATGTTTTCTTTACTGTCAACATACAGTGTCAAAATGTTGATGTTACTCTCAGCACTGAGCTGTGGCAGAGGTGTTAATGCCTTTAAATCACCCATCTGTGTTTGTTGTTTTATAAGCAAACAGATTTTTATATATTTTGCTCCTGACTCCAGTTTTTTTTTTTTAGCTTGAGCTCAGTTTGACCGGGATCCAGGAAGTGAGAGACTCTGATACATGAGTCTTGTTTTCATCTGTTTGACTCTGCTTTTTCCACTAGTTTTGAATTTAAATGAATTGTGGCAGGTATTCAGCCGCTCCTCTGCTGACTCCTTATGTTTGTTCTAACTCTGACTGCAGAAAATCTCTCTCTAACCGCTGCTGAAAAGGGCAGCTGAGGATTGTTGCTGTGCTGGGAAAGTTTTTTTATAAATATATATCCACTTTTCTGTCCACAGGAGTCCCAGCATGTCTCACGGCGTGGATGCCATCGGCCTTCAGGTGGATTACTGGCTGGCTTCGCTCGCTGAGAAGCGGCGGGAGGGCGAGCGACGTGACACGGGCTGCAAGAACACACTGAAGAGCGCCTTCCGCTCGCTTCAGGTCAGCAGGCTACCAGGCGGGGGCAGCAGTGATCCACAGGCCCAAGTCAGCACCATGGCCATGACTGTGGTCACCAAGGAGAAGAACAAGAAAGGTGAGATGAAGATGAGACGATCAGACGGGAGCTGTTACAGCTGTTGTTCACTGCATAATGACACTATTAAAGGGCCCTGAATGTGAACGAGAGTTTTTAGTCTCTCACTTTAAGATTTTGTAAAGACTGGGGATCTTTCAGGGTCACTATTTGCAACAGTAGATTCCTTTGAGATTATTTCCCATCATGCACCTGGTGGCAAATTTACAGGAAGAAAATGAGTGTGTGGACTTTGTATTTATGATTTCCCTGTGTTTATTTTGAAATATTTTTTTCCGATTGTAGCACAAGTGGAAAGTTCGCCGACAGTAGCTAACGTTAGCTGCCACAAGCTACTGGTCAAATCATACTAAGTAAGACTGTATCAGCCAAACCCCTCAGTGTATTGAACTGAACTATAGTGGGTTTTGCTGCTTATGAATTTAGCCTTTCATTTGTTCGAGAGAGAATGTGTTTTTTTAACACAGTTCCCAGTTCCAAGCTTCTACTCTCTGACAAACATGCTCATATTTATTCAACAGTGGTCTTTCTCTGATACAGTGAAATATTCAAGAACTGGGGGTAATTTAATCGGAACAAGATGTTCTGTATCAAAATTCAGTTGCATCAGGAGATGGGTGCCAAGATCGAACCCTACAGTTGGCTGTGCTCCACAGACACACTAACAGTCCTCTTGACATTCATCTCTTCCTCCTTTCAGTCCCCACCATCTTCTTGGGAAAGAAGCCCAAGGAAAAGGATGTAGACTCCAAGAGCCAGGTCATTGAAGGCATCAGCCGACTCATCTGCTCTGCAAAGCAGCAGCAGACCATCCTGAAAGGTAACCTGAACACGTGTTTGATGAAGCACCTTCACTTCTCTCTAAGGATTGTTTCTATTTTTGGTTTTAGCTTTATTTCCTTTGAAGTCACCTGACTTTTGGCGTCTCTTCCGTTTCCCTCCAGTGTCCATAGATGGCGTGGAGTGGAACGACGTGAAGTTCTTCCAGCTGGCCGCCCAGTGGCCCACCCACGTCAAATACCTACCTGTTGGACTTTTTGGCTACAGCAAGCCCCCGTCCTAGGGGTCAGCGCCCCTTGACTCCTCTGACCCAGAATTGACCTTTGACTCTCCTCGATCCTGTCACACCTTCACACACACAGATCCTGCCTCTCAGCAGCTGTCGAGCTGAGAGAAGACGTCGAGTGGCCGGACAGTTTTTCTTTCTTTGATTTCATGTTCGCTACAGTTGTCTTATTTCTCTTTGGGGAGGGATAGGAGGAAGAGGAGGAGGAGGAGGGTGGTGTTGGGGTGCAGCGCTGTTACTAGTCACTTTAATGCCCCTTTCAGTGCGTGTTTGTGTGTGTGTGTGTGTGTGGGTGTGTGTGTGTGTGTGTGTGTGTGTGTCGAGTGTGCATGCACACGTGAATGTACAGTATGTGTGTGTGTATGTGTTTACAAGGGGCTTACAGCACAAGTTTATTAGCTAACTGCCATTTACGTTTCCGTTCTATGGAATGCAATAGCATGCAACTACTTACCGATTTCAAGCCCTTAAAAATCTGACCCTCAACTTTTGACCCCCGACCTTTGGCGAAACCCTTGAAGCTCACCTCAATGACCTGATCCACACGTGCATGCATCAAACTAACAGATACACCACTCATGTGCCGGAAAACATTAACTCAAAATAAAAAGTAACGCAACAGGGCTTCAGTGTTTGCATGAGCCAATGAAAACACAAAGGAAAACGTCTCATCTGCTCACAAAATGCAGTCAATAAAAGGCTGGATTGTGATGAATTTCTCCTCCACCTGTTCTACATCAACAGTACAGATGCCCTTCAAAACAGGCCCAGGCTTTTTTTTTTTTATTATTATTATTATTTTTTTTTTATTTCAAGGGCTTCCATGTAACATTTAAAAAAAGATTCTGTGCCAGAATAAGTCATTTGGACGTCTAATGCCAAACATTTCAAAAAAGATGAAAAAAAAAAAAAAAAGAAAATATATAAAGGGGGAAGTGTCTTTTTTTTTTAATTGTGTTCTGGTGATAAATAGTCAAACCTTCCCTTTAATGCTGTTGTGTGATGCATAGTGTGCGTTTTTGTGAAGAGTTCCAGGGTTTCAGGGCAGTGGCTACTGTAATGTGCAGTTTCCTTTATCTTCTTATTTGCTATGCACTTATGAGTACACATGGACCATCTGGGCGTTTGCAGCTGGTAAAAAAATAGATTAACTCTCTTAACAGCAGACCCAACCAAATATGCAACAGGAAACAAAATGCATATTTAAAAACAGACTAAAACACAGCAGCGTTGATGGGAATATGATCATTTTTTTCTTTTTTTTTTCCAGGATAAGCCCAGCTCTTTCATGAGTATTTATACCACAGGAATGGGAGTTAGTCACCCGCAATAAAGCACAATGTTGTCGCCAGTTGTCCCCAAAACATCCTCTCTTTATTGGCAACGGACTGGCAGCTTTCTCTTCAGTGAAAACAGCAGACCTGGGCAAAATGTACATCCTTTGAGCATCCCCCCTTTCTTCTTAATAACCTTCATTTTATCAGGAAAAAAAAAAAAAAGAAGTGTTTGGGTTTCAGTTATTTTGGCACAGGTCTGCTACATGCTTTCTCTAGGATGTCGTGAGGTGATTAGTGAGTGTACAGTAACTGGTAACAAGTGTGTGTGTGTATGTGGTGAAATAAACGTAATGTGGTGAGAAACATTAAAAAAATCACTAAATAGGAGGAATACTTTTTCCACCATGTGACAGAGGACATGCAATTGGTTTGTGTGTGCGTGTGTGTGTGTGCGTGTGTGCGTGTTGGCACTGTGTGTTGATGATGTGGTGATTATCAGATCAGGGCTGCAAAAGCTGCAGTGGTGGTCTTGTTTACTTTGTGGCCTGGCACAAGGCGAATGCAGATTTTTCCACCACTAAGCAACAACTATAAAAAAAAAAGAAGACGATAAAAAGAAATTCAGTTTTATTGAAATTATTTGATTGAAATTCAACTATGGTACAAATTCAAGGATGTATCTGGATTAGTGGTTTATAATAATTGTTTAAAAAAAAAAAAAAAGGAATTTTTAAAAAGCAAAGCTGTGTGGCTCTGCCTTGTGTCACCTGCATCGTAACACTCTCCTTCTCCAGTGAAGTATTAGCAAAATATTTCTTTCTTTTTAATAGTGTTAATGCCAATGTCTTGATTTAAATGCTGTTTTTGTTTGTTTGATAATAGATTAGAAAGTACAGTGTTACAGTCAGTGATGTCAGCAGCATGTCTCAAACTCAGCCTTTTTTTTTGTTTGTTTGTTTCTGTCGGACAGCACCTGTTACGCAAGGTTTCTCGCTGAAGGGTCTCAGAGCTCACCTGTTTGTTGGCTCTCTGTTCGGTTAACAGCTCATCTGTCACCACTGAACAAACACTCAGTCTGGTGTTGATTGATTTGAACTACTTACAAATATTTGAATGTATTGAGTTTCGTTTACACATGCTGTCCTGCATCTTTGTGAACGACTGATTTGAAGGCAATAGTAAAGATATGCGTCACTAAAATAAAATAATTTAGTGTTAATTGGCCTAATTTCAGATTTTAGAAATGATCTGCTCCACCACTCCAGTGCCGCCATTTGAAAGTCTGCATGAACTGTTGACAGACGGCGAGTTTGGACACTTTTCTCTAACTTTTCTATGTAAACAACGACAAAAAATTAAACAGCCAGTGGGCTTCTTGAACGCAGCCCTCTTGAAACCTTCAATTTTCTTTCACTGGAGTTGCTGAAGAGCAGTAAAGGGCTTGAGAGACAGACTGACTGCTAGCCTCCAAAAAGAGGCTGGGTTTGAATTACTCCTGAATATCAGTGAGCGTTGAAGTACTGTAATTTGAAGTAGAGGTTACTTGATCCAAACTGAGATTTTTGGTTTTCTGGTACCACTTAAATAACCCCAAAATGCTTTATAATTTGCCACTAATGACTTTATTAATGTTGATTAATAGGTTTTGAGCTGCTATAATGCATGAATGGAAAGAACTTTTGTGTTGCCAGGTTTTGAGACCAAATTTCCATAAAGTATCCCTTTGGTTAGTGTATTATATATCTTCATCTCCTTTTTAACGCTACACTAATCAATATTTTTATATTAAAAGTGGGTCAAATGACTATGTCTAAGGTGAAAGTGGTGACTCGTAGTGACAAACTCAGAGAATTAACACCCAAGTCCGTAGTTCCCTTTCAGAGCTACACAGCGATTTTAGCCTCTTTTAGCTCATTGTTTTGGTTTTTGAGCACACAGCGTTACTGGCTCCCATCAGCCTCATTTCCAGCCACAGCAGAGCAGGCAGCTGCAAAAATCTCTGTTAACCCCACCGTACACTACCCGTTAAGCACCAAACTACAGACAGACAAAGTTAGCAACTAGTTGATGAACGCCGTGGAGCATTTAACAGCTAAAAAGCCGGATGTTTCCCTCTGGAGTTGGTAGAGACCAAAAACAGAGTGAATGTTGGACTAAAATTCATCAAGGGGCCAGAAACATCACTCTATGCTAATGCCACTCGGTGTCTCACATAAACTTTAATAAGTCATAGTGGCAACTCATTACATTTTTTAAGTATACTTTATTGTGAAAGGGTACCACATTTTAAAATTTGACAGATGGATTTAAAAAATGTTTTTTCTTATACCTTGAACATGGAGGGGCTATGATCTTACATCTACAATAAGAATCGACCTCTACTAACTCAAAGTAGAGTTGCCTTGTAGTGTCGTCAGTCAAATTATTGCAATGATGTGAATCTAAAATTTTCCTAAATTGTAATAGTTTAATAAGTAATAGTTTATTGATGCCTCTTTTGCTTTCACTCGCTCACTGATTGAACTGAAATTGAAATCTGAAATGTTCCGCTGAAAGAGACAAAATCACTGCCAAACCTAAAATTTGAGAAGAAAAAAAAGATAGATTATATTCAGATAGATTTGTGGTGTTTATGGGGTGCTGATAACTTATAACACATAACAACAAAGTGATCCTTGTTCTTGAGTCATTATTTCAATGTTTGGAGGAACTGAATGCTTTTCCATCGCAGCCACGTTCTGCAGTTTTTCTCGTCTTTGTCACCTTTAGAACAATCTTCCCTTCATTCTTGCCGTTCACGTTTTCCCTTAAGTCTCTTCGGAAACGCTGGTTGTTCTGTATGTAAGTCTTGAACTTGTTCCTGTGTGTTTTTTCCTGTACCTCTGTACCTGTGTCGACCTGTGTTTGTGAAGCTGTAACGATGGTTCCTCTGTCCTTGATTAGTCGTGGTTAGAGATTAGGAGCTGTTCGGTCCATCGATATTTGTCAGTGATCAGCAGTGTCTTTTCTCTCCACCGTCCTCAGAAATATGTCGCTCTGATGATGAGAGAGTCTTCTTCACCAGGCTTCCACAAGCTTAGCTTTCTGAAAAGATATTGTTCCCATTCCCTCACAGCTTGTAAATTTGCCGTCTGTCCTCATGGGAACGGGATTTGCCTATGAAAGCAGTAGACCTCTGCCTGACGAGGTTCTGCCCGCAGCAGAGCGTCCCTAAGCTTGTGGACTTGTGGAGAGTATTTTGCACATGCCATTGTTTCTTCAGCAGCAGTCTTCAGCTTTTTTGCCTTTTGCCTATAACAATAACTATATTACACAAACTATAATGCTTGTACATATCAGATAGTACTTGTTATATTGTATTCTAGTTCTTTTTTTGTCTTTTTTTTGTTTGTTTTTCTTAATTTCACATGTTTTGTAGTACTGCTTTTTCATGATTACATTTGTTAATCAAACAGATGTGGGATGAAAAGTGGAAGTGTTCATTGTTTCATTTGTTTTTTAAAATAAAAATATTCCTGATTTGTAGCTTTGTCTCTTGTTTTTAATAATGATATATATGTTTTGTGTGTGTTTGTAGCTTGTAATAGCTTCTTTATACTTACTTAAAATGGTGGTACACTTGCAATATATAATTCTAATTTAACGGTTAGTGTTTTCCAAGTAAAGATCAACAAACAAATCTCAGTAATGAAACTAATGGGGCTGCAAGGAGAGTTAGAAGATGACAGAACTTGCATTAAAAGTTCACAGTCCCCAGATATTCCCACAGAGCTTTGACTTATCCTGCAGGACAAAAAAATACATTGATACTACACCATATATAGAGATATTTTCCTGATTAAATTGGTCATATTAAAGTATGCAGGTTAATATCGCATTTTAGAAGGTTACATAAACAGTGAGTGACAGCGTACTAAATGGTGCACATGATACTTGTGAAGCAGGTCAGTGGTACACTACTCTATTGCCTTCTATGCTCCCCTCAGTCTTTGAATGGGGCCTCTGCTGACATCTTAACACAAAGAGGACAAGCAAAGCAAGATAAATCACTTCCGCCTACCTCATGTTTCGTGAAAAACCATTTGATTGGTCAAAACATCGTATTAACATGCTTTTGAATGGTCGTAAAGCCTCTTAATCAAAACCAAGTGATGGTTGAATACCTTACGCATTTCTATCTTTGTTAAAATGACAAAATACTCAATACTAATACAGCTTATACTATAAGAAGAAATCTCACGGAAAACGAGTTTTTCAGAAGGACTGATGAAACACAAAAAAACTCTACAATAAAATGTAAAGAATTACAGAAGATGCTAGCAGTAACTAACTTGGAGCGGCACTTCGGTTTTGCGCATGCGCGAAATAATTTTCCCGCCCCGCCTAGAAAATGATAAACGGTATTCATCTTGATATTTTATCTCATCTTTGTTTTTTGGTATCTGGGAGAACAGCCATTTTCGCCTCCCGGCTGTCACATTTGAAGCGCATCCACGATAATATCGCTGTTTTTTTGCTCAACTAAAGTTTTAGTGTGGATTACAAGTCAGTAACGGACAACATTGGACACATTTAAGCGCTTTCTTGCAGTCCTCCATTGTCGAGTGACAGTCTAGGTAAGTTAAGGTGACCGTAAAAAGAAGCTTGCCAAGGCTGATGTTAGCTTAATTACAGACCTCAGCTGGGACCGTAATCGCATTAAACTAAACTCAATGGTGTGTGAGCTATTTCTGTTGTCTTATACGAGCCAAATAACGTGAGAAGCGTGAAATTAAGAAGACGGGTAACCTAACAAAGTAGTTCCTAGCACTCAGCCTCCTTCAAAGTAGGGCTAACGTTAATTTAACGGCTGACGTTAATTACCAACGCATGAGAGCATCAATTGCTTTGCTTTTGCATGCTTTGGAGACGAAGGGAGTGCTTTTCCTTATACACACTGACAACCTAAGCCGTCGTACTCGGTAGCCTAAATCGCCCCACTGCGTTGCTCTTGCTAAAAATGAGCTTTTATTTTGAAAAGTATATCCGGAAGCAGTTTGTTTTCTATTGGTAGACTTGCCTCTGGTCTGTCTGGAGCATCACAACATTGTCCTGCTTTGTTCGAGGGATAGAAAGCGTCGCACTTGTCTTCGATGAAGGTAAAAATGTGGATACATGATATTTATATGAACAGCAGCAGAGGTCGCAGTTATGTAGTTAAGAAAGACTGCGATTTAATGCATATGATGGTAATTTAACGGTATATTTTTAGCAAGCTGTCAAATCAAACGTTACATCCTCCGCGAGGTCCGCAAATGTGTCATCTGCAGTTGCTTGTGTTGCCATTTAGGGAACATCTCTTTTAACATGTTCTCTATTATGTTGTTATCTGTGCCGTCGGTAAAGAGAGTATAATCGTCTAATATTATGTGCATCGGTGTGTATTGTGTAACAACCTGGAGCTCGGGCCTGTACTGTTTACAAACAGCTTACATGTAGGAACCTGTCATTTCACCGCATTTTCAGTGATTGGCAGTTATTTACTGAATCATCAGTTATAGCTTCGTGCTGTCTGAACAGACCTCTCCATTGTCGGTCACCTTGATTGATCTGTTGCCAAGCCAAACGTTGCCTCCCGTCCTTCCGGCCACAGGCCTCGATCATCCACCGGCTCATTTATGTATTTGTGGCTTAAAATAGTCCCATTGAAGATGCACGAATACAGGATAACATTAACATTTGGGTGCCACTTTTTTTCACGTTTCACAGCTTTTCCCTCTCTGCGTTTGGAAGCGGTGGATTTGAAGGAAGCGTGAATATTGGTGCATTGCAGTCAGTGTATAAGGCGGATGTGGAGGGTGGTGGGGGCGGGGGGGGGGGGTGAGTGAGAGAGAGAGAGAGAGAGATAGGGGAGGGAGGAGGAGAGTAGAGGAGAACAGGTGCGCCTCCATCATCAAAGCAGGAAAAGGGAGAAAGTCACGATGTAGCACAATTGGCTCCTCTGTCCTGCTGCTGCTGCTGCAACGGTTTCAATTACAGCTGCTCAATATTTCGACCCTCAGGCCTTAAGCTGAGGATAAAAATGACCAGTTACTGTTCTAGATCTCTCCTCTCAGACCAGTCTACAGCTGAGAGATGTGTATTGATCTCATGATGTGGAATTTTCTAGATATTGTTGGAGATTTTGGATTTCCAAATATCACCATACAGCTTGAATGCTCTTCTTCATTGTGTTTATTGATATTCTAGAGTTTAAATATAGTTTGATAATGATATATTGGTCAACATGAAACAAACATTTTTGATTAGGGTCCTTTTAAATTGTGACTAATATTTGTACGGATTTAGTTATTTAACAGTTAAAAATAAACTTTCTGGTTGAGAAACTATGTAATGACATCAATCTTTCAAAATTAGCTTAAACATCCCTTTAGCATTGTTGTTTACTTATTGATCAGTATATAAGCTTATACAGTTCAATCTGTGATGACCTTAAATCGGCTGAAAATATTGGCCTTGCAGACGTATCAGTCAGACTTTAGTTGAGATGCTGTTGTGATGTTTGATTTTCTTGTCATCACCTCGCTCTGTATCAGTGTCTCCTTGGAACGGCTGATCTGTTGAGTGACAATGGCTCATTGTAATTGGCTCTACTGGTCACTGGCAGCTGCTGCGTCAGTGTCAAGCTCGGATGAATCCTCTTGCAGTAATCTGAATGGGTTTTAACTATACACACACTACTCACACTCACACACACTCACACCTTATCACTTTCCAAAGACCTAAGGGGCACATTGTGCAATAATAAAATGGGAATGGGAATCTGGTGGAAAACTTTTTGCAGCAGCAACTTCATTAAGGTAATTTTCTCTTTAGGGTGTTTTTGCCACATACTGAACTAAAGTGTGTTGGGCGAAGGATTCCTTATTTGTGCCAAATGGGTAATAAAACAGTAAGAAACACATCAAGCAGGATGTAAATGCTTCCCTCGAGGGTTTTACATTGAAACAACTGATTTTTTACTACTTGGTTTTGACAAGTTTGTGACTCATTTTTACCATCATAAAGGAACCTGTGAGAATAAATCATTATTATATTTTCTTCTAGCCCTTTGCTTGACTTTCTTTCCTTTTTCACTTTCTCTCAGAATATCTCTTTACTCCCTCCATCATTTTTATTGTCTCTTACTCATTTTCTCTCTCATCCTCCCTGTCCTCTCTTTCTTTCTCTCATATCGCATCTGCTCTTTTCTTTTGTCTCCTGTTGACCTCAGTAGCCAGCAGATAAGGGATGTGGTTACACTGAGCAGCTCATACGTAAATTGTGAGAATGTCAAGCTGGACAGGACGGGAGAGGATGAGACACAGTCAGCAAATTCACCTCCCATACCCTTGATAAATAAAAAATGGAATGATGATGGAGTACTCCCACATCTCATCTGTGTGTTCGGTTTCTTTCCCGTCCCCACAGCGTGCATGAAACCAGGCAATGTCCACCATGGTGTACCCACGTGAAGAAGCCCTGGAGAGACTGAGCCAGGATGAGATTGTCCTCAACACTAAGGCTGTCATGCAGGGCCTGGAGACCCTGCGCGGGGAACACGCCCAGCTTCTCAACTCACTGCTTGATTGCACCCAGCCACCAATCGCCCAGGAGAAGTCGGGGCTGCTCCGCAAGAGTCTGGAGGCCATTGAGCTTGGCCTGGGAGAAGCACAGGTGAGAGACCGAGTCCTAATTTTTGTTGTCTAGGATTTACTTAAGTAAACAAAGAAGCAAAGAAGAAGAAATTGTCATGTGTTAAAATTTCAGCTGGTAAAAGCCCTAATTTTATTTGTACTTTCTAATTTCTCCAGGTGATCATTGCCCTGTCCAGCCACCTGAGCGCCGTGGAGTCGGAGAAGCAGAAGCTTCGCGCTCAGGTGCGTCGGCTCTGCCAGGAGAACCAATGGCTGCGGGATGAGCTGGCAGGAACGCAGCACAAGCTCCAGCGCAGCGAGCAGAGCGTTGCCCAGCTGGAGGAGGAGAAGAAGCACCTGGAGTTCATGAACCAGATCAAGAAGTTTGACGATGACGTGTCACCCTCGGAGGAGAAGAGCCAGAGTGCGGGTGGTGGTGGAGGAGGAGACACTTCAAAGGACAGTTTGGATGACTTATTCCCCAACGACGATGACCAGGGAGCAGGTATGACATCAGCAACAGTGCTCGGGGAGATGATGACAACATGCTTGCTGAATATACATTCAGTTCAATTCAGTTTACTGTCAGAAAAGACAAAGAAAAGCAGGAAGAATTTGAGAAGCTACACTTGAAATAGTTTCATTTTTTGCTTAAACCAGTCTGAGGCCTTAGTAGAGTAATTCCTTACAAAGGATTCACATCCCAGTTTACAGGAGCAGGTGCCTGATACTAGGGGAGAGTGACCAGCAGTGGTAGACCACAGGAAGAAGAGTTGATTGGTCATGCACTGGGTACTCACAGCCATTTTGCATGGCTGACCTTTTTCCCCAGTAATAATGAACACCCAGGAGCCAAGTCGGGTGTGTTCATGTTGAAGCATCAAAGGTCGTATGTTGTAGACCCAGAAGATATGAATACACATTAAAAAAAGAGAGGGTACCCATTTATTTTGAATTAGAAATTTCTACTCCGTATGAACCTTGGATATTGTGTAGGCATCATGATACATCCAAAGCCGGTACAGTTGATTATACAGGGATTTAAGCGAAGTCACGGTTTAGGATTGAAGTAATAAGGACTGTGGATAGCTGAGAGTGTGTATGAAAAGGTCAAACCAGCATTTGGTAATAGTTTTTGTTTACAGCCATAAAAATCTTCAGAAGGTAGAAATCTCTGAAAGTCACACCTGAAATTTGATCATATCCCTTAATAAGTCATATTTTCATTGAGGTTAAAGTTGTTAAAACCATACTGTGTGTGTGTGTGTCACAATTACCTGCAGGGTAACTAAGGCAGCAGCAGGCTGAATGCACAGCAACAGAATCTGCTGTGTGCCACTCAGAGCTCAACACAGTCATGCCTTTCAGTAACAGAAATGTTCACCCTGAGCTTTAGGAGTAATTTAAACACTGAGGCACAAGCTATTTTCAAACCTTAGTTTTGATACAATCAGGCCCTTATATAAGTGGTGAACCTGCAGTTTACCAGATAGATTACTGAATTTGTTTATTGCAGAAGTTGTGGTTTGGTTAATGCAAAATGTCACTGTCTAAACAGAAGCTCAGTCAGGAAATGGATTTTTCTACTGCAGATAAAAAAGAAGGTGACTTATACAGTGCATTCAGTTTTCCTCCCCATTAGCCAGACAGTAAGTGCTGCTGTACTCGCTTCTTGGTCTCTTTAATTATTGATGGCTGAATACTCATAAAGCTTGTTCACTTTTTAATGTCAACTGAACACTCAGCCATAACATGTTCAAATATGTAGTAGACGCAAAGATCTCTTATTCTGTTATAATTTTGATATAATCTTCATTGTGACATCGTGTTGTCTTTATAATGTCGCTTTTTGTTCAGAGAGGAAGAAGTGGAGGGAAAATATAAAAACCTGAAAGTAGAGGAAGGTGACGAGTCAAATCAGAGACACCTGTGTGCCGGGGGGAGGGGTAAAACTAACAAACAGACTGGAGGAGAACAGAAAAGAGGTATGACAGCGCTTAAAAAAAGGACATTTAAAAGAGTGGTCTAAAATTAGAGTAGTACATAAGAGGAGATATACAGAGTTGCAGTTGTTACAAGAAACAGCTGGATTTCAGTGGGTAACCATGTGCTTCTGGGTGGGTGCCACGCCTTATCTTGCCTGTATCTGGTATGCAATTTAACAATTTTGATCATTTGTCACATTTCAAAGTTCCGCCTCCTCAAACGTGAGAATATGCTGCTTTTCTTTGTCTCATGTGACATTAAACTGAACATCTTTGGTTCTCATTCTGCCATTTGCAGAAAGCGAGCATCATCTTTTGCTTTAGGAAATTGTGATGAACATTTACAGTATTTTGTTTGTTTGTTTTTTATTCTATAATCCAAACGGTTCATCAGAGAATTGAGTTTGTATTCGATCATTGATCTCTTTGATTTTATTTAGATAACATTTATCTTAGAGGGTAAACAGCATGATAACAGCTAGCTAGGTTTTCTTCAGCAACAACTTCGATAATAGCAGATTCTTAAATATATTTCTGCTTTTCTCTGTTATCTAACTCTAAACTGAATATAATTGATTACGTCTCCTGGGGCTGTGAAGTTTTGACATTTTAGAAAGTCACAGTTTTCTGATTATTTGGATGAAATAAAATGTGACAAAAGGTTCATACTTCAACTTTTCCGGTTCCTGCTTTCACACAGATTTTCAAGCAATTTCTTCATTTTCGTCATTGACTCTTGAGTATCTGATTCATGTGTTTTGTGAAAACAAGTATGATGTTCAAATGTATTAATTTATGAGCATAACATGTTAATTTCCTAACTTGCAAACTAGAATTTAGACAACTCTGTTCTCAAAATGTGAATTCTTTCCAGTGATGAGTTCTTCTTCTATGCAGTAAAACTGCTCTTACAGTTTTTTTGCGATGTGTTTGTGTGTATGTTGCAAATTTCAGGTGTGTTTTGCAGTTTGAAAAAGTGTTTTCCTAATGATTGTAAGTTTTAAGTCTTGAACAAAGTGTATAATGTAAGAAAAAGTGTTTTGTGTTTTTGCAAGTGTGTGATGTTGAATTGAGAACAAAATGAAAAGTAGAAAATATGTTTGTACTTTTGGTTCCTGTGTTTAAGGCATGGTTTTGATGCTTTGGTCTAAGTATTCACTTTTAGTGTGTAAGCAATCACAAGAAACTGTAAAGGATATAATACCAGTTTTGACCTTGTACACTCTCATCCGTCCTCCAGCCCAGCGCAGCGGAGAGGTGGCGGCCCAGCAGGGAGGCTACGAGATCCCGGCACGCCTCAGGACTCTGCACAACCTGGTCATCCAGTACGCCTCGCAGGGAAGGTACGAGGTGGCTGTGCCACTGTGCAAACAAGCCCTGGAGGACCTGGAGAAGACGTCTGGACACGACCACCCCGACGTGGCCACCATGCTCAACATCCTGGCCCTGGTGTACAGGTGAGGATCAAAGTGGAGATTGTGTTATGACCTAAACATTTACAGAGGTTTTCAAGCGAAATGATTCAGATTTTGAGAAAAGTGCTGCTGTTCTGTTTTGTCCTGCAGAGACCAGAACAAGTACAAAGAAGCAGCCCACCTCCTGAATGACGCCCTGGCCATCAGAGAGAAGACGCTGGGGAAGGATCATCCAGCTGTGGCTGCAACTCTCAATAACCTGGCTGTGCTGTACGGCAAGAGGGGCAAGTACAAGGAGGCTGAACCCCTCTGCAAGAGAGCGCTGGAAATCAGACAGATGGTAAAGACCATCACCATCAGCTCAGAATATAGAGAACAACTTGTGTAAAATATTGTATCTTCAGGACCAGGGTATAAAAACTGACAAAACATCACTCACAATAGAAATGAATCAAGACACAAACGTATACCTTTTTTTAAAATTTGCAGATGCATCAAAACCTGAAAACAGAAAAAGATCTCTCAAATCTGTCTTCCTGTTGGGTCTAGGTGCTGGGGCAATACCACCCAGACGTCGCCAAGCAGCTGAACAACTTGGCTCTGCTGTGTCAGAACCAGGGCAAGTACGACGAGGTGGAGTACTACTACAGACGAGCCCTGCATATCTACGAGTCCAAACTGGGAGCCGACGACCCAAACGTGGCAAAGACCAAAAACAATCTGGTGAGGACATTATTAAGATACTGGATACTTGGTATTGTTTCTGTCTGCAGGTCTTCAAACTCTTTAAAATGAGTGAAGATGTCACTTAAATCTGATGCTTTGTCTTGTTTTAATTCAATACATTCAGTTTTCTGTATGTTAAATCCTAAATTCACGAGAAAATCTGCCTCTTCTGTCCTCTACCCTAATGATGTTTATTTAAATATGATTTTGATAAACGAGTAGAACATTTTGTCCATTTTGGATACATGGATTAAACATTGTCCGTGTTCTCCTCAGGCCATGTGCTACCTGAAGCAGGGCAAGTTCAAAGATGCTGAGGTTCTGTACAAAGAGATCCTGACCAGGGCACACGAGAAAGAGTTTGGATCTGTCAACAGTAAGTAGAGCCGACAGTCAAACTGCTGTGAGTCACTTAAAGCTCCTGGGCTGTGCAGAGAGGAGCAGGTACTGGACCAGGCTCAGATGGGTATTTCAGGTACAGGCCGGTACAAGAAATTAAAGAAAAAGAATTTAAACCATTGATAGACAAACATTCATACTGTCCAAACAAGCATTGAATGCAAAGGAAAGTGAACAGAGATTTATGGTTTGATAAATTTATTATGTGATCACAGTGAAAAATGTCCAGGAGCTTGTCTGTCAGTCTGACAGTTGCTGTGTTTTGGGATTCAGGTTTAGATTTGGCCACACGCTGATCCCTCCCAGCGCCCTCAGCAGGTCACAGGATTATTTCGTGCTATTGAAGCGTGCGAAGCAGCTTAATGTTGATGTTTCCCTCCCGCTGCCGCTTAGCCTATCAAACCCTTATGTGCTCACATGCCCTGAACGAGAGAGGGCCGTGACATGAGTTTGGTGAGAGGAAGCCATGTGTTTAAATGAAGTCACGTGGACAGAGAGGTGTCACTATGAAATTTAGATCAGTCCTTGTTATTTTCTGGCCAATTCATTTATTGATGCTTTTCCTCACTTTTTTTTTTTTTTTTGCTGCTGTTGTGTATCAAATAGTGTTTATGTGACGTTTGTTTTGTCCTTATTTTGCAGATGACAACAAGCCAATCTGGATGCATGCAGAGGAGAGAGAAGAGAGCAAGGTCAGTTACTCAGGTCGACCTCTTCCATTTCTCCCAGTGGTTGGCAGACTCCCCATTATGGATAATGGATTGGACAGTGACATAAGTGATGGACAGTAGCAGACTGTACAAATGACAACAGGGACATTTTTAATAGTCTCTCTCTCTCTCTCCCTCTCCCTCTCCCTCTCTCTCTCTCTCTCTCTCTCTCTCTCTCGCTCTCTCTCAGGAAGCCCGCAAGGACTCTGCTGGACCATACGTAGAGTATGGGAGCTGGTATAAGGCCTGCAAGGTGGACAGGTGAGTCACACAACTGACTTCACTTCAAATATTAAACTATTAATTAATTAGCATTTATGTCAAAAAATAACCAGACATTATTTTCTGTTGACAAATCTTTAGAAATGATGAATCATTTAAAGAAAGAAAAGACTTACAAAGAAATACAAGCAACAGATACAATACAATTATATGTGAGTGATGGTGCTCATCAAGTCTTAATGCCTTTTTAAAGACAGTTAAAAGAAAAACAGCATCACTATACAACAAATTGACCATTTCCTCCCAGTTTGTCCCAGGATTCTCTGTTTAGACCACATGACGGTAAAAGTCACACTGATAAAACTGATCTGGCCTTGAAAAAATGCACACTGGCCAGTATCCAGTTTTAATAACAGGAACAAGCTCTGCAGATAGGTGCTGTTTTACTGCTGCAAGCCCTAAAACCATCTTATGACTCAATTCATCGTTGTTTCATTCAAGGTGAATGGAGTAAAGAATAACTAATTTAAACAAAATCAAGGTTTTTCTTTTTCACATAAAACATTTAGTTACACACATTTAAAAATAAAATAAAAACAAATAATGTGTCTTGCTGTTTTGTTTTTTTTTGAAGCCCCACAGTGAACACAACCCTCAAAAGCCTGGGAGCTTTGTACCGTCGCCAGGGCAAACTGGAGGCAGCAGAAACACTGGAGGAGTGCGCCAGCAAGTCACGTAAACAGGTACCACACTAACACTGAGCTGAGTTACTGCTGTTAGATGAGTCGTCTGGGCTCTTTTCAGCAGCTCTTTCAGTGAAGAAGCCTGATTAGTTCTAGTCATTACAGCTGTGAGTTATTTGCACATAAACTACGTCAGACTGATGTTAAAGCTCAGTCACAAAGCTCATGTGTACATTGTAGTAAAGAAAACTTAAGATCATAGACATGCTGTGTGGGCTATTGTATAAAGGCTGTATTTTTTTCAATCCTCTTAATCACTCTCTTAATCTTTGTGTTTCTTTGTCTCTGTTCGTGTGTGTGTGTGTGTCATCTCTCAGGGAATCGATGCTATTAACCAGAGTAAAGTGGTGGAGCTGCTGAAGGACGGGGGAGCTGGAGGGAGCAACAGACGACAAAGCAGGGAAGGAATCAACGGACCAGGGGGACAGCGGGGGGAGAACGAAGGTGACGACTCCGCTGAGTGGAACGGGGTCAGTTCACAGATATTAATGAATTTTAACACTAATGAAAGTAGTAATGAGTTCATCTTGATTCATCAAGTAGAGAACATGACACAAAGACAACATAACCTTGCACACAAGGCTGTGAAAGGTGTATTAATGCAATTACTTGTAAGGATTATTTCAGACATTAATATTGAGATGCCCTTCAGCAGGGCTCCTCAGCTCTCAGCTGTAATTAAACCAAAAGTGTGGAAACCAAGCTCAGTCTCTCTGTCTGCCGAGCCTCAACAGGAAGTCTTTCATCTTTAGCGCCCGCAGTAAAATGTTTTGTTGTTTCCTCAGGATGGTAGCGGGTCTCTGCGTCGCAGCGGCTCCTTCGGGAAGCTCCGTGAAGCTCTGAGAAGGAGCAGCGAGATGCTGGTGAAGAAGCTGCAGGGGAGCGGACCTCAAGAACCTCGCAACCCAGGGTAAGGTCACTGTTATCATAGTCAGGAACCAGGTGGAGGACTGCAACTGATGATTTCCATTTTTTACTAATGTCATCAATCGTTATTAGTTCCCAGAATCCAAGTCACATTTTCAAATGGCTTCTTTTGTCTGACCAACAAACCCCAAATATATTAAGTTGGCAGTTGGTTGACCTTGACCTTGGAACTAGCTGTATGACCTTGGAAATGACAAGCTCCTCTTACTTGGATTTTCTCTCTCTGTTGATGAAGGCCATGAAATGCATCTGAAAGCTCTGGAATTTATATAGATGATCAGAATGAAAACAAAAAGCAACCAAACTTTACATGTAAGAAGCTGGAACCTGTGTAATTATTAAAATTGTTTCTGATTTAGTTTTTGTTTGTTTGACTAATCAGCTGATTAATATATTTTAGCTATAGTTTCAGCAGTGTGTTTTATGGTTGTACAGATGTTGTAATCGGTTTGTTTCAGTTTGGCCTTTTTCCCCCTCAAACGTTTTTCATTCTTAAAGAGACTTGGGAGTTGGATTTATTGGTACTGGATGTAGCTGAATATGTTAAATCTCAACTTTATAAAGGCAGTCTTTGTCTTTAGTTCTCATACACTGATCTGCATTGGTAGGTTTATGGTTTGATTTTGTTTCAGAATGAAGAGAGCGAGCTCCCTCAACTTCCTCAACAAGAGCACTGAGGAGACCACACAGGTACGCCTGCTCATGACTGCACGCACTGCATCACACATTTTCTAAAATCTTTTATAATGCATAATATTAATGATTAAACTGTGAAAGTTAACTTTAGATTTTAATTGCTGAATAGGGATGTCAGTTATCTGATATCTGGAAATGAAATACCTGACAAATCCAGGTGCTTAATCACATTAGGGCTAAATCCTGTAAATCCAGTTCTGTCATAGATCAGTCAAGCTCATTGATTTGTGGCGTCGCTCACAGTGGCATGAAACGGCCTGAGATAATAAAAAGTCGCTGACTCAGAGGAATCTATGTAGAATACATAGACAGTGTTGCCAAATCTTAGTACTAACAGGCACTGGATTGTTTTCAGGACGCCAACTCCGGACTGTCAGACTGCAGGGGACTGAGCGCCAGCAACGTGGACCTATCCAGACGCAGCTCCCTGATTGGCTAGACAGCGACAGGAAGTGGGACTGAGGAGGCACAGAGCGGCCCGACGCGGAGAGGCTGGTTGCAGCTTGGTTTGATCAAACAAACACACTTAAAGCTCAATGCAGAGATCAAACACTTGCACCTGCAGCATATTTTTAAAGAACACTGGAAAAAAAAAAAAAAAACCTCACCACACTAAACATCATCCTGTAAGACACAGTCGCTGCTGCCGTTGCCGCTTCACTGTACAAACCGCTGCCATCCATCAGAAAGAGAATATTTAGACACACATTTATCAGCATGCTGCTTACTAGAACGTGGAACGTCTGCACCTGACCGCCTCGTGTTTTAGACTCATAGCACCGTAGCAAAGCATCGTATCCACATCGTGACGAGTCCGTTTGCTCAACGTACACTCTCATGTGCAGACATTCAACCTTAGGTAGGCTATATGTACCCAGGTTTCAGTTCAGAGAGGTGTTTGCACTCTTGTATATTTCACCAGTAGCATGAAGTCTTTGCTGATGCTAACCACCCATTGAATGCATATCAGAGACGGTTAAAAACGGTACAGTCCGATTTAGATTTTAACATACAAGCAATATAAAACATACATCTTGGATTTTCAAAAAACAACAGCACTAATTATTTAAACCTCACTTTTTGCCTTCTTGTTTTTTTTTGTTTTTTTATGTATATACAGTTTTAAATTATTTGATATTTCATTCTTTGTATATAGTGCACATTGATTTTTTTGTTTTTTCTTTTTGTTTACACTCTCGAGTTAAAGAGTCTCAGTTGGAAAAAATACTACATTATCTGAAGGGGGGGAGACTGGAAAAGAAGGAAAGGAAGAAGGGGAAAAAAAGGAGTGAAAGAAGGAAAGATAAAAGGAAATATTGAATTGGGCACTTAATTAATTATATCAATGAAAAGGTCAAAAATACTGATAATTTTGTACCTCAAATCACTGAAATCTGCTGACATTCAGAATAAGCTATCAGACCATCAAGTTTCAGTCTAAACTGTTGAAAAGCACTTTGAGCATGACAGTCATGGATATCTACTGTATATCCAGCAGCCATGTTGGTATCTACAGAGCAGACAGGGATGATTTTTCACTGGATCCTCTAGTAGCCATGTTGGAGCCAAAAACAGCGTTTTTTCAAATGAACTTTCTTGCTGATTCGGGGGTCGGTCGGCAGGAGAAGAAAATGGGGGGGGGGGGCAGAAAGTTCATTTGAAAGTAAATTTACAAATAAATCAATCATTTCAAGTTTAATCAAACACTATAATCGATGCTTTCTTCTCCTCCCACTAATGATTCATTTTCAAATAAAGTGAAACAGCCATAGGTCTGAATGATACTGAAGGAAAATGTGGAAGAAATGTTAAAAATAATTTGTTTACAGTCATTACAGCAGGATGTTTGAGGCATAATCAACCCTCATTTAAAAATATGTTCAAAGCTGATGCGGAGCTTCAGCTACAATATGTTTACTTTCGTTAAGAGGATTCTTCTTCTTCGTTTTTTTGTTTTTTCCTTCATTTACTGTTGTTGATTATGTATCTTTTTTTTTTTTTTTTTTTTTTTTTTTTACAGAACAATCCTCAGTGTTGTTTTTAATTCTGACTTGGGTGGATTTTATCAGTTGACAAAAACGACCGGAGACCATCCATCCTCAGTGAATCTTGTGCAGAAGCGTTTTGAGTCTGAGCTTTTACATTGAAAGTCCTGAAAACTGATTATTTGAATGTTACGTTTTATGTGGATTGTAGGGTGTGCCGGCGTTTACACTGGATTTTTGTTTTGTTAGGAGATGAACTCCACCAAAATGAGACCAATACAAAGAAAACTGTCCACAGAATGTACACGTCGACATCAGACTCAGCCGTGATCAGGTCGTCCAGAAAATGCTTTTTTTTTTTCTTGCAACTTTCTTTGATCCTTGTTCTAAATCTTCCAATTCAAGAAAGTCAAAAAAAAAAAAAAAAAGGTCAATTCAAGACGACCTGAGTGTGATTTCAAAAATGAGAAGATGCAGGTTTGTTGTGAAGGCATTTTGTCAACGTTGGTGCATTCACACCATCGCCATGTGCCTAAATAAACCGAAGTCACTCTTCTTGAAATCACCTTCCGGTGCAGTCACATTGCTGAGTCTAAAAAGTGCTAATTCTTCTATCAGCTTCTGAATGTGCAAGGTGGCGCAGGTTATGGATTGTAATTAAGAAAAGAAAGATAAAGTAAGTGCATCAAAGGTGGAAAAAGTTGGTGTTTAAGAGGAAAAAAAAACAAATGAATGAAAGGGCATTGGAAAGACATCGGGAGAGGAAAAGTGCTTCAAGTCTCGTTCGCAGCAAATAATGTACAGAATTATTCGTGTACAACCTTTATATGTATGTTTACTGTATGACACACACACACACACCCACACACACACACACCCACACACACACACACCCACACACACACACACCCACACACACACACACCCACACACACACACACCCACACACACACACACACACACACACACACACACGCAGGAATTATGGGAAATTCCTTTAATCACACACAATCTCAACACCACGTAGTTGTGTAAAAAAACTTGGTGGAACACTAATTTGTAGTTGAAGGTCTCCAAAAACGCTCTAGAAACATCAGTGCTCCGCAATACACACAGCATAATACTAATCAATACGTCACGGTATTAATCAGTCACTTATTCACTCTGGGTTGGTACAGTGTTAGTGCTCCATAAATATATGAACATTAAGTCGCTATTTAGCTCAGTAAAATAGATGAGAAAAATAAAACTGCTGCAGTTGTAAATATTTATCTTGACTCTGTCGCAGGAGGAGTTTGATCCAAAGCTTCAAAGATTAATCAGATCCTTGTCTCTCTGATCTGCTTGTCCAAATATTTATGGAGATTAATACATGTGCTCAGAGCCATGGATGGTAAATGTTGTGAGTATGAAGGTCATGTATATGTGCAGAGACTCCTAATTTCAGCTGCTGTATTGCTGATGATGGATCTTATTGTGAAGGGGCCAACCTGATGTGTATTTTATCAAAGGTTCAATAAAAACAAATTCCACTTTTCAAACCGATTCTGTGTTTCTTACATTTTCATCCTCATAACTGACGTCAGAAACGACTGAAAGGCGACTTTGAACATGAACGGAAATGGGTTTGACCATTTCAAAGTGTGAGTGTGTGAGAGAGAGACAGTTTTCACAGCTATGGCTGGGAGTGTTAACCGTACACTGTCACAGCCTTCATATATGTGAGTGTCTCTCTGTAACTTCCTGTCTCAAAGACAGCTGAACCCCACACAAAGGAAACCAGACTCACCAGAAATGATGAGGAGAATGGGCGACACACTGATAGAGTGATCTGCTGTAACCTTGTTGAGATACTGTTCTGCGACTGAGGTGAAACATCGGAGCGTGAATGAACCAGGGTTAGAAAGTAAGATTACTCTCTTTAAGTATACTGAGTTGGTACTAAAGTGTTTTTATTGTGGCGACAGGAAATTGTCTCTCTGAAGCTTATTTATATCCTGAATATAATACTACAATGGTTGTTATTTAACATTGTTAATGAAAAGATTAAGTCATTTACCTAATCATGCTGGTGATTCCAACAATAAGAAACCGGTACAGCAGTTGGTAGACAACATATATGTAAATATATATATTGTATGTATGTACAAATGTTTATGTCCTCAACATTACTTAAGATCTCAACCATTGCACAGTGACCAAAAATGTGTTTTATTTTGAAATGCCACATTGAACCTCAGCAGCTTTTTGTCTATTTTTAATCAAAAACTCTCAAACCAGAATCTGCTCATCACATTTCCTGCTCTTTCCTATCTTTGTTTGTGTGAACAGTTTTCCCACAGGCTTCCTCTCCATGTCCGCAGTGGCTCCCTCCAGTCCCACCAGTCTCGCGGTGCCGGCTCTAGTCCAGTTCCAGCTCGGCCTGTTCAGGGAGGTGGTTCAAGTCCCTGCCAGCAACCTGAGCTACCGCCATGCCAAGAGGCTGGCTGCAGAGGTCATAGAGCGCAAGGTAATCAAAACATCTGGCTGGTGGTGAGTGTGTTGGGCATTAGACAAGGAAGCCTCAGAGGAGCCTTAAAGGGGCATTCCACTCATCTTACACATGGTGTTTAGTTTAGTATTTAGGCTTTACTGTTGCGCTGGAAGAGCGTTTCCAAAAAAAAACAAAGTTCAGTTTGAGACTAAAATTTCATTATGATGTTGAGTTGCATTATGGGAATTCTAGGATACAGCATTTTTAGAGGTTAATCCTCGTTCGAGAATAAAAGTCAGGATATCTTTGCATCAGTTTTGATCATTGTTTAAAAGAAGTCTGTCCCCCTTCTTTATGGAGGTTTGACACTAAATTTGTTGTCGCTTTAACAAAACAGCTGAGTGATTTATCTTGAAATTAGTGTCGCTGCCTGTTTTAATCTCCTTGAATGGATCTGCAACAGACGGCTGGAGTTGGTAACAAGCAAGTCACAAGTTTTGCTTTTGACAAGAATGTGTCTGGATCAAATCCCACAGCGGCAGGTAAAAATCTGCCGTTGAAAGTTGTGATGACGGCGATCGGGATGTTCTTGGGCACAGCACTTAACCCACAGCTGCGCCAGTGGAAATCTGCAGCATCTCCAAACTGACAATTACAGTGCTGCAAAAGCATTATCAGTGATAACAAATGGTAAACAAGAAAAAAAAAACAACCTGCTAACACAGTCCCACTTGGAAAATATTTTGTGTGACGTTTCGAGTTTCTCAGGCTTGTCAAAACTGTCAGGAAGTAAAGTAGATTTTGAAAAGGTCACCTCGCGCATGAAGGAGGACTGTGTAGGTTACTATGTATAGTGTGGCTTTTGAGAAACCCCTAAGTGTTTGTGCATTGATGACTGATGCAGTGTTTGAAGGATGTTGTAGTGGTTTTGGCTGATTATACACACACACACACACACACACACACATCTGATTTAACCTGCATTTTGTATAACCTGCGTTGTTAAATTGGGTTAGATGTCAGTTCAGTAAACCAGATCTGGAACGGTGGGATGTTTTGTAGTTTGAGTGATACAACCAGTTCAAACTTTCTAACATGGTGGTAACTATCGGTTTGTCAGAGCAGCATTTGAATCTACAACCAGTAATTTGAATGCTGCACTGAAACTGTAGTCGAGGTCAGATAAGGTTGGTCATGAATCGCAGGTGTTGGTGACTCTGTCAGTGTGTGCAGGTCTGGTCTTCACACTGCCTCTGTTATAGGGACTGTGTGGTTGACAAGAGCGCAGCAAACTTTCCAACCACAGCCTCTCCCCCTCCGTTTCAAGCACGCACGCACACACACACACACACACACACATTCTTCTGCTGCGCTCACACCAGCCTTCCTTTCAGCTTTGATCTGTTGTTTCCAGGCAGCAGGTCAGCGCAGTCTGAAGAATGTGTATTTGTGTGTGTGTGCACTGTACACAACAAACCCAACAACACGAGCGCACTACTGCAGATATATCACATACTGTGTATATGTGTCACTGCTGGGTGGAAACCCTGTATCTCCAATATTGATGCCTAATGTTGTATAATTTTATGATATAGACTTTAATACTTCTACCTGGGCAGAGACCTAGATCCCATTACATTCCTCTTGCTTGTCAAAGCTTGTATGTCCGGGTAGAAGGAAGTGTTACATAGAGGACAATAGATTTAACACTCAGCCGGCTGTGAAACTTCTCTCTCAAGATTTAGAGATGATAAAAATCACTGAACAACATCAGACCCAGCTGATGATGTTACTGGCTGAGCAGAGCTCTGATTCTTTTTCTGCCTCCTCACTCCTTTGTTCACAGACACGTCGTGTGTTGAACCACAGCTGACCTGCGGCACATCACCCAACAGTATGTTCGGGACCGTTTCTCAAACGTGCTGCATATTTTTGAAGCGGTTTTCTCTTTTGCCACCTTGCACCGCTAGAGATGTGAAAAGGGCAAATCATTAGTGACAGACGGACGTGACTGTGTTCAGCGTTTCAGATTGTATCATGTTTGATCTCTTTATCTTGCAAGCACTTATTTCTGTCTTGTGGAAACTGTAACTAGGTCGTGCTTTGTGATGGTTGTAGATTGTTTACAGAATCGTTACAGACTTTCTCGACATGTTGAGCTTTTTCTCCAGGTTGCTCCAACTCCATCTCTTGCTCTCTGACCAGGCAACACTGGCTAAATATTTACGCTCCCTCTTTTTCCACATTGAACAGTTACATATATTGGAACATGTGCAGTGGAGGTTTAAAGCCTTGTTCATTTTCTCATGTATTTTCCTGCATTATGTTTCCTCTTTTTTCATCCAGGATACAAACCAACAGCCTCTTTTGTCTTTTCATCTATTGATGCTCTATTTTAAATAAATATAAATAGAGAAATGATGATGCTGGAAAAGTGAGAATAAGTAATGATGTTTTAAATTGAGCTTATCTCAACCCGAGTCTCTGTGTGTGTTCAGGCTCCAGACTGCAGCGTGGTCGGCGTCGGGGAGAAGATTTTGCTGTTCCGACATCAGCCCGCCTCTGAGCAGCTGCTGCAGCGCCTGACAGACCGCGACGAGCTGCAGGATGGAGACCTCATCGAGGTCATCATCGCAGGTCAGGGGTCAACAGGAAAAAAAAAGCTTACTGTGGATTTACTATCAGTAATCTATTGGCTCTTTATCCCATTGTCCCTTTTTTATTGGCTGATTCACAGTTAATTCATTCATTCAACACTGCACATTTCCAAATCCCAGATGTTTTGGACTTTCATGCTAGCCATAGTTTTGTTACAACAGCTTATTTAGGAGAAATATAAGTCTTATTTTGGAGGGATATTTTCATAAATACTGTGAGATGACATCATTTTTCAAATTAAAGGTAATTTGTTTTCAAGTATTTCAGTTCCATCCTCCTCAGAGCCACACAGGCTGTTCAGTTATCAGTCAGTACTTCTTTATGCCGGCACACATCACAAAGTTACTGAATGTCCCTGTGAAGCTTGTTTTGGCAGGTAAACCTTATTTTCTTAAGCCTCTGGCTGCACTTCACTTCATGAAATACAAATCTGCTGCAAAACTGGGCCATAAAGAAGCAACACTGTCAAAAGCTTCATTTTAAATTCAGGCACTTGAATCTCACTTCTACTTACAGGTAATTTTGATTGATGACAACATCAGGAACAGCTGGAAATTATAATATTATGTATTTCACAGGAATGTAAATATGTTAACTTTTTAAATTATGTTTATGTTTTATTAGTAATTTATGTTTTATTCCATGTGGTAATTAAACTATAAACTATTAATTACAAAATCAACAGGGTGCAACAAGTTAAAAAAAAAAGAGATGTGAGAAGTCGATCAGACAGAAAACAAACAGATGCGATAAGACAGATGTGGACCTGTGCACCCTCCACGCTGCTAAGCTTTGACCCCTGCATGCAAGATGGTTATAAAACAGAGGTGTAGAGCACCGTCCTAAAAGCTCAGTATTCATTCTTGCCAAACAGTGTCAGTGTGAATATATTTCAGTTTTCAATCTGTCTCTTCTTGTTGATCTGACTCAGTATCAGCCTCCGTGACCGAGATGAGGATCCGTCCACACTCCCTGCTGGTCTACTCGTACCGGACTCCCACTTTCTGTCACCACTGTGGAGAAATGCTGTGGGGCCTCGTTCGACAGGGGTTAAAATGTGACGGTAAAGCTGCTCACGCTACTCGTTATTTACCTCAGTCAGCGTCATTAGCCAGTGTGCGGGTGAGACATTTTATTCATTGGTCAAACGTTTTCACCGAACCACAAGCGGCTTGTCCACCTCTGCCTCTCTCCAGGGTGTGGATTGGACTTCCATAAACGTTGCGCCTTCCAGTTGCCCAACGACTGTAGTCGAACGCGGCGTCAGGTCAGCACCAGCCTCTCCCTGTTTCCTCCCCGACGACCCCGTGTGCACTCCCTCTCTAATCAGGCGGGAGGCAGTCTGGAGGAGGTGAGGAAGTAGCCGCAGTTTATTTTAAAAAGGGTTTACAGAGTTCACACATTGTTTTTGATGATCTTCACCAATGACTTCCGCTGTCCTGTCCTTCACCAGATCAGCATGTCCAAGCCCTCATCCAGGCCTCCGTCCTGGGCAGAGCCTCCGGTGTGGCTGGGTGTCGGGTGTGGGGACAAGAGCAGGGCTCAGGTCCCTCACACCTTCCACATCCACAGCTACACCAAACCCACCGTGTGCCAGTACTGCTACCGGCTGCTCAAGGGGCTCTTCAGACAGGGGCTGCAGTGCTCAGGTGAGACGCCTGAGAAACTTTAGAGAGGATTGTCTCGTCCAATGATTGAGACTGCAGAGGCTTCTTCTTTTGCACTTTTGTGAGCTACATTTTGTCAAGAGGCTTTTGTCGGCTCTGCTGATGAACAGAGAGCCTCAGAGCCTCTTACGCCAAGACTGAAGAGGCCTCTCGCAGTACATGATTTACCTGGAGGAAAAGAGTTTTCATTTACTGCAGGAAGATTCAAAACCATGTCCAAGTATCTATTGCTCTAAAGTTTGTGATGCAGTGATAAAATTCTCACGTTTAGATTAAACGTATATGGTCAGCAAAAACTCGTGCAGCAGCAGTGGTTTCCTGGGTGGATGTTATTACATATTAAACATGTTCCTCCACTGAGGCCAGTTTTAGATGATTTGTTTCAACAAAACCTCGACTTTGATGAGTCAAAGAGCTTCAACTCTGGGCCGAACTACATCTGTAATCATTTGAATGGAGGAAAGTAAACTTTAAATCACATTTAAAAGTTAAATTCTCGCACTCTCATTTTCCATTTTGTACACGCATGAGTGTCGCCCTCATGTTGTGGCCGAGCAGCTTTTATTTTTCTGTCAGAGTTTGAACCGGCCACCTCTCCTCTCTTCATCCTCTCTTCATCCTCAGACTGCAGGTTTAACTGCCACCGGCGCTGCGAGCCTTTAGTCGCCAGAGACTGTCCGGGAGAGAGGAGAGGCGTCAACGGCGAAGGTGAGCAGCGATCCCTGGAGGTCCTCGTTTCCACTTCCTATTCCGGGCCTGACAGTCACTCTGTTAGATCATGGTTCTTTGAACAGGCCCCCGCTCTGATCTTCTCATTACGCTGTGATGAGTCAAAGCTGATTCACCCTCCTTAAGGATATTTGATAGATTCAGGACTTGGCCTGATTTTAAACTCCCAGAAACATCGCATGTGTCCAGACAGTGATGATGATTAGTGGCATGATCGTGATCAAAGCCTGTTGAGGTAACCAGGATTATGATTTAAGATCCTATAATATACCGTATAACTGCATTTGTATATTTGTACTAATGACAAAAATCTCAGGGTATGAATTTGTCTGCTCTTTAAATAATAATATCAGGAAAAGCAAGAAATATGGGCCATTAAAACAACCACTTTTAAAGCTAATTAACATCAATTCAGATTATTTGATTAATTTAAGTCATAGATCAAGAAAAATTGTAAAACATGTTTTCATTTCAGTTTCTGAAATGTTCTAATTTTGTACTTTTCTCTGACTTTAAAGAGAATATTTTCAGGGTTTGGACTGTTGGTTGAACCAAACCAAGCAATTTAAGCAATTTCACTCTATTTTTCCGAATTTAAAAACATTATGTGAAGGTTATGATCAGTCACATGACTCATATTTTTGTGCCCATGATGTCATAATGTGTTCCCAGAATCCACAGCAGCTGGTCACAGCTGCCCACCAGACCCAGACGACAATGAGTCAGAGCTCACCAGTATAACAACACTAGATCTCTCTGACGACGAGATGTCCACTGACGGTGACTCGCCGGCAGAGTTCAGGGAGGTCGAGCCAATCAGGTTAGAGGGCTGTTAGTTCATACTGATGATGTCATCCCATCTGAGAGGTGACTGCGGTGTGTGGTGGTGATGCCCTGATCTTGTCAGGGAGTTTCAGTCTAACTTGCAGCTGTTGTCGTGTACCACCTAAACGCACACACACACACACACACACACACACACACACACACACACACACACCTTTCACTGCACACATCTGCATGACAAACCTGGTTGTGGTCAGGGAACTTTTGGGACACGCTGCCCCCTGGAGGTGTTCAGGAGGTACTTTGACAAAACACAACGGCTCTGTCAGTGAAAAAAGCAAAGTGACAAATTCAGTTTGAGTCTCAAAACGATCCTTTTTTCTTCACTTCCTCTCATCGTTTGTCCTCCTTCCCTCCACCAGTCCGTGTTTCAGCAGCAACATCCCTCTGATGAGGCTCGTCCAGTCGGTGCATCACACTAAGAGGAGAGCCGGTGGAGTCCTGAGAGAGGGGTGGCTGCTGCACCACACCAACACTGACATGCTGGTGAGAAACACTTCTACTGAAACTAAAACTAAAACTCTGTGCAAATGTCTTTCAGGATGTCTCGGACATAAAGAGCTGCAGCTGTTTTGTTAGTGATTCTGTTGGTAAATCCTCTTTTATAGGGGAAAAAATACATTCACTGACTTTCTATTTGTTTTACATCCAGCTCGTCTTTATGGTATAAGATTTGTGAATGTGCTTGTGACGTTTTAGTGTGTGTGACATTAGAGTCTAAACCTTTTGATTGTGACCTGTGGAGACTGCAGATGAAAATGAGCTCTGACCAACCCAACAATAAATCAAATAAAATACTCACATGCACGTCTTTAATTATTATCCTTCTTTCAATTTTTTTAATCACACTTTTTTTTTTGCTTTTTTCTGTCCTTGTTTGCATATCTGGGAGCTAAAATACCTGTTTGTTTAAATATGCAGTAGGAGCCATTTTTTGTGTTGTTACAAGTGGTGTCACAGTTTTGTTGAATGATGTAATGAGGCCACACCAAACACTTAATCTGATCCACAGAGGTGTTTCTCAACTGCTGACGCCTGGTGGTTTTTGAGTCGATGTCTAACTTATTGTTTAAAGCTTTTGAAGCAGATTATTTCACACACACACACACACACACACACACACACACACACACACACACACACAGATATGAATGTGAGCCCAGTGGTCAAACGTAGTCAGCCACAAACGCTCAGTCAAACCAGTCAACCCAGTATGTGGAGTTTACTGAGAAGAAGCTTGAAAGTCTGTTCTGATTCTTAACTTATTCAAAGTCATTAACTTCCCACACATATGATGAATTATTAATTATTTCTGTCTTTTCTTCTCCCAGAGGAAACGTCATTACTGGATCTTGGACAGGAAGAGCATCACTCTGTACCAGAACGAGATCAGCACCAAGTACTACAAAGTAAAAGCTCTTCATTAGCAACAAACGATTCAGTAGTTGAGTCACGTTTCTGTGGCTTTATACAGTGAGATTGACCTTTAATGACACCAGCTGAGTCGCACAAGAATGAGTCAGAATGGTTTCTTTACATCAGAGGTGTCTGATTTGCGGAAACACATGTTTTTTAAACTAATACCCATAGTTTAACCACCTTTAGTTTAATCGCCTCATACAGTATTGCTCTTCCTCCTGCAGGAGATCCCTCTGTCCCAGGTGCTGCAGGTCCGAGGCCCCGCCCAGCTCTCCACGCCTTTGTTGCCGGGCGACAGCGCTCACTCCTTTGAGGTGGTGACGGCCTCGCTGGTGTACTGCGTGGTGGCGGGAGAGGACGGGCCCGCCTGGGAGAGCGCCATCCATCAGGGTCTGATGCCCGTGGAGAGCAGCGAGGGACACGACGACAACCGCGGTGAGACGAGAATAACATCAAACATAATGAGATTATATAACCAACTATGTTTTGATGAGGATGATGGAACATAAACTCAAACTTTTTAATAAGGTTAAATAACAAACAAGCAATGAATCATATCAAGTGTTTGTTAGACAATAATTATTATTATCTTCCATCTGTATGATGGTATCTGTCCTCTTCTGTTTCCAGATGATCATTCACACAGAGACAGCACGGTAAGCATCAACTGGTTCACTCCTGAATTTCCCGAAGAGCTGTTTGTCACACCTCACCGTGTCACTTTGTGTTTCAGGACATCAGCTCGGTGTACCAGATCTTTACGGACGAGGTGCTGGGTTCAGGACAGTTTGGAGTGGTGTACAGAGGTGAGCTGGTTTTAACCCCATGGTTAGATCAGGAACAATATTTAAAAGGATACAAATTATAGGAAAAGTGGAGAAAAGGTTTTTGGTATTTGTTAGTTTTTGTTAGTGTTAAGCAGTTTTTTTTGTTTTTTTTGGCAGATTTTCTAATTAAATCTTCTTTCTTTATTCATGATGGATTGTTTACTTCCTTTTAGACAGTCTGACACTGTTTGGATATTCAGCTGACTTCCCGTGCACTGATGAAAAGACTCTATAGGCAGCAGTTAATGAAGAACACGAAGAAATGAATTCATTGAAGTTTTAATTAAAACCAAATTCATTCTAGGAAACGTCCCAAGAAGCGGAGAATTATGAAGCTGTGAAATAAAGTGACTCCAAAATGTATTCATGCAGAGGAACTGATTGGTTTAGAATGAGAAAATATTGAAACCCAGGCCGCAGAGCTGCACCTAAAGTGTTGTATCTGAGTTCCTTAATCTTAGTGAGGCATTTTTTTGTTGATTAAAGTTTTATTAAAAAAAGTGTTTTCTCACTCCTCAGGTACTCACAGGAAGTCGGGTCGGCCAGTCGCCATCAAAGTCATCGACAAGACGCGTTTCCCCACCAAACAAGACAGACAGCTGAGGAACGAAGTGTCCATATTGCAGGTACACATACATTTTCATTACATGTGTGCGTGTTGGCTCTGTAGTGTTTTTATTTTCTGTAACACGTAATGCGTGTGTGTGTGTGTGTTTTGTCCAGAATCTGTCGCACCCCGGTGTGGTTCTGTTGGAGGGGATGTTCGAGACCGTCGAGCACGTCTTTGTCGTCATGGAGAAGCTCCATGGAGACATGCTGGAGATGATTCTGTCCAGTGAGAAAGGACGACTCCCTGAACGCAACACTCGCTTCCTGGTTATGCAGGTATCAGATCCAGCACTGATCATTAAACACTCATTACAGGGATGGGATGAGTCCATGTCTTTACAGTTTACTGACTCTTTCACAATAAAAGTTTAATAAAAGACAAAGTTATGTTTTATAAATTTTACTTAAATTCTCCTTCAAAAGTTGCGAATATTTGAATAAGAAATAAATTGAGTAATTTTAGTGCTGACAGCTGTTCCTCAGTCCAGGGACCCAGCACCATGAGAACAGGAATGTTTTTCTGAGGCTCCTCCTGCATGAGGCTGATAAGTACCGTCTCCTGCTTGTGTCTGCTGCAGATCCTTGAGGCTTTGCGCTATCTGCACTTCAAACATATCGCTCACTGCGACCTCAAACCTGAGAATGTTCTTCTGGCCTCTGCAGACCCCTTTCCTCAGGTGGGACTTTATGATTTTTATTCAAATTCCAGCAGAAGCAAGTTGTCACAGCATCTTCCTGAGTCACCTCTGCTCTCCGTGCTGCAGGTGAAGCTGTGCGACTTCGGCTTCGCCCGCATCATCGGCGAGAAGTCGTTCCGCCGCTCGGTCGTGGGGACGCCGGCCTACCTGGCGCCTGAGGTGATCAGCAGCTGCGGCTACAACCGCTCTCTGGACATGTGGTCTGTGGGCGTCATCACGTATGTGAGCCTGAGCGGGACGTTCCCCTTCAACGAGGACGAGGACATCAGGCAGCAGATCACCAACGCTGCCTTCATGTACCCGCGACAAACCTGGGCCTCCACCTCACTGGAGGGTAACAACTTTGTTTATTCATATTTTTTAACCTCCTATCACTCATTTTCTTTCCATTAATCAGCATGTTCCAGCTCCTCATTGCATTATTAAGATGTTAACAGTGAGTGAAACATTAAAAACCCTGCACTTCATGTTTGTTTTGACTGCATCATTCAAACCGGTTGAAATATTTAGCATGTTTTAAATATAGGGTCACCTGTTTTCTCCTGTTGGCCACTGGGTGACTCCAGTGCACCACTTTTAAAACAACTTCTTTGTCTGTGTGTGTGTGTCTCTCTCTCTCTCTCTCCTCTCTCTCTCTCTCTCTATCTCTCTCTCTCTCTCTCTCTCCAGCGGTGAGTCTCATCAATAACCTGCTGCAGGTGTCGGTGAGGAGGAGGTTCAGTGTGGGCAAAGCTCTGGGACACACCTGGCTGCAGGTCAGATACATGACACACTGAGGGCATATTCATTTTATATTACTTTAACATCCCAGTTTGATTTACTGAACGCACTGATGTTGGCAAAGATATCGTTCATTGTAAAAGCCATGTATGTTATCAGTCTATTCATTTAATAGAATTTAATTTTCCTAATATATTTAGATTGGATTATTTCAATTTCAATGTACACCAGTATTATTAAGAAAAATTAGGGAACAAAAACTGATTTGAATTGAAAACAAATTTAGAGAATTATGTGTTAAATATCTTTTAGGATTTAAACATTTTATTTTAGACTTGACGCTGACTCGAGAACATTTCCATCATGTCAGCTCTCCTTCATCCTCTGTGTCTCCCCTGCAGGACTTCCAGCTGTGGTGCGACCTCAGGGAGTTCGAGCAGAGGATGGGCTGCAGGTATCTGACACACAAAGGGGACGAGGAGCGCTGGATACGCTATGCCCAGGAGAGAGGCCTGAATTTCCCCTCCCACCTCAGCTGACACGTGACCTCAGCACAAGGGTTTAAAGGTCGGACAGTTTTTAGTCTGTGCAGCGTAGATAAAACCAGAAATGAGACACGCTTCATGCTCGAAATCCTGAATTTGTGGGAGAGCAGGGAACCAATTATAGTTTTCTTAGCGTTTGTAGGTTGTTAAACATCCCAGTTTTCTGTGGTCACCAATGTTAGAATTAAGGTGTTTGTAGTGGGAACAGGAAGATAAATGAAAGAATCTGCAGGAAGCTCAAGTGGCCACAGCACAATTATTTCTACTTGTATGCAGGAGAAAAAAAAATCACAGATCAGTCTTTATCTAGTTGTAAACATAATGAAAAAACAACACAAACAACTGCTGTTTAGTAATATAATTTTCCTTTTTTATTCCAAGTTGTAGTTTTTAAACTTGAACTGTGTGAAAGTGAGTTTTTGTGGCGTCAGTGAATGAATGAGCTGAGGATGAGGAGAATGGAGCACAGATAAGAAAAAAATCATCGCGAGTCAAATCACACTGGTTATCATGGCCGACCTGTCATTTAAAAATGGGACCAAAACCCTATGAGCTTCCTCACTGACATAGGCCTGCCATGGTCCCACGTACAGTATCGATTCTTCTTTAGTCCACAACTTTCCTGATGCCCTGTCTCTCACTGCTCGACACCTCTCTCTGTCTGTGTCCCTCCTCCATGTCACTTTAAATGTAGCTCACGGAGCGTGGATAGAGAGGGGAGAGGTGTGTGGGATCGTTCTCTCTGGCCATAACAGTTTGCCTTTCTGTCTTCCTTCTTGAGTCCCCCATCCGGCCATGGCCCTTTCTTTGTCTACATTTACCCACAGTGCTTTGCTTTGAGCTGCTCTCTCTGTTTGCAGTCTTCATTTTAATATTCAGCGCTTCGGTTTAGGTGCTCTCATTCATCCTCCGTGTGTTTCTGAGCTTCTTAAGGGTTTGAGATCTCCAGGTTAAATTTAATCTTTGCTAACGTTCAGGTTTCACAGTGCTGAGGTTTTTTTTGTTTTTTTTTTACAGAGTGAGATTTTTCAGTGTTCGACTGGCTTTGTAACATTGTAGCACCTGACTCGACTCGCTTCGCTCCTCTGCTGACTGAACTGTTAACAGGCTACTGACGATGTGGTTTGGGTTTGTGTGAGATTAAGGAAGAGTCAGAGACTCACAAAGACATTTGCATTTCTAAACTTCAACATAGCATGCATCTGCACAAATACACAACCAACCAAGCCAACTGACCAACCAGCTTTTTTATCATGTTTTCTTCTTTAATTACCCTTCTACAAAAAAATATGTCATCTCAGAGAGAGGGCGGAGAGCAGGAGGCTTTGCTCAATGTAAGATTTTTTAAAACTTCTTTCTCCCTCATCACCACCTTCTGTTGAACATCTCCTGAAGGCAGGTATGTTATATGTATGCTGCTTACATAAGTTCAGTGCAATACCCGCCTCACTTCTGGTTTTTAAAGGCACTTGAAAAGAAATGAGGGACAGTCCAAACATAGTTTCTAAGATTTGAGCAGAGTCTTCTACTCTCACCCTCTCTAGGCAGTGTTTACGGGGGATGGAAAGAGCAGGGAGAAGGATGAGTAAAGGGGGAGGAAGTTAAGATTTGAAAGAGGAAAAGATGATAAGAACAAAGCGTATAGAAGGACAGTGGAAGGGTTTAAATTGCTCTCTCCAAACAGGAGAAATAGGGGGAGCTGGGAAGAAGGGATGAGAGGAGGAGGTGAAGAGAAGCAGCTGTGTTTATAAGTCGCTCTCTCCGTAGAGGGCGCTGGAGAAGGAGATGTAGTCCAGGGCGCCGGGGGGGCTGTCGCTTCCGATGTACCTGGTCATGCGGCTGATGCAGTACTCGGCCTGCTCGGGTGGCAGCTCCCTGCGCAGCTCCTCCACTGTGATGTAACTCTGGAGAGATTTATAGAGGCAACAAGTTGAAGAGTTGTAATGGCCCATAGCACAAACCCACTGATGCATCAGTGAGGATTAGATAAGACCAGTGACTAATGTTGACTTGGCCAGGAGCTGAGGGCCTTCTCTCAACTGACATTTCCACACACGCTGAATTTTGCAACGGACGTACTTTAAATTTTAACTGCTCATCATTTAGTTACCAGTGTTTCACTCTCAAGCCAAAACAGCAACTGAGAAACTGATATCACTCCAGATTTAAAGGGAAATGTGGCATTTTTCTCATTGTTGTTATTATGATGTTATCAATGATTGTCTTCAAATCCTGCTCCAACTAAATCTTGTCTGTAAAAATGTAATTACTGTTTATATGTCCGCTGGAAAGTTGTTGGGTCTGATTATTAGCTTAGATATTCCTCGGTGTGAAGCTAATGGGACGCTGTATTTGGCGACTTACCTTGTCTGAGGCCAGAATCTTGAAGGAGGCCATGACCTGTTCTGCGGTGTCCGTCTCAGCGGTCTCGCGGGTCATGAAGTCGATGAAGGCCTGGAAGGTCACCACGCCTGTGTTGTTGGGGTCCACCAGGGTCATGATACGAGCAAACTCCACCTCACCCTGTCAGAGAGAAAGGGGATGTATTACATCTTTCCTATATAATTTAAACAAGTTAGTCGGTACCATCAAGGACGTGACCTTTAAATCTGATCATTTTTAATCAGTGACTCCAGGTGAAACTCTGTCCTCCCACTATTTCATATCCACTCAGTGTATACAGGGGGAGGCAACCAAGATTTTTTAAATTTCTTAAAACAAAATTAAATTAATATCAAGCTAAACAAGTCAAGTTGATATTAGAGTCATTTTCGTTTTGTAAATTCAGACTTTGCACTAACCAGATCGTAACCCATGGAGATGAGGCAGGCACGGAAGTCGTCTGGGTCCATCATGCCGTTTCTCTTCTGCAAAGGAAAAAAACATCTGGATTAACTAATGGAACAAATAGATATAATACAGCAGGATCTCTGGTGCAGGGGCCCACGTCTTCATTTTTTATTGGTGCTACAACACCGAGTGTCAGGATCCTAGTGATCCTGACACTTCTAGAAAAGGGGGAAAAAAAGACGTGTGCACATCTGTCAAACTGATTTTGATGTTTAAAAAATAAAGGCGCTTTCCTGTTCTTTATGTGTTGCTTCTTATTATTACTTTCAGTACCTTTCTACTGACACTAGCACAAACTTGAAGTCAGTGAACACCTCACCCTGTCGAAGTGGTTGAAGGAAGCTCTGAACTCGTTGAGCTGTTCCTGGCTGATGCCCTTGGCGTCGCGGGTCAGGATCTGGTTCTCCACCTCGTTGATGGTTCTGGCGATGGTGGTGAGCAGCTGCTCCCAGCCCACGCGGATGTGCTGCAGTGGTGGAGGGAGAATAGATTAACACCCCCGTTAAACAAGAAAAAAGATGGACAATGTGAAGTCAGGTGGTTGAAGTTTACTGTACCTCCATGGTGTAGTTGGTGTGCTTGTTGTCGAAGATGAGGGACTCCTGGCTGAGCTGGTGGTCTCCCTCCAGCTTGTCGATGTTGGATTTGTAGTTGATGATGTTCTGCTCGTACTGCTTCAGGCTGTTCATCTGTTCCTCCAGGGAGCCGGCGATGTCCACTGACACATGGCTGATCTCCTGCAGGTTTGCAGAGACAGGAAACAGAAGGAGAATATGTCAGTGAAATCAAGTCCTGAGATGCAGCTATTTAATACATGTTTTCATATCTGCAGTTAGACGCAGCACCTTACCTGTGTGTACCTACATGCAGTCCTGTTGCTCCTGTATAACAGGACCCATCAAGACTAACTTTAAGTTGTTTGACAGTTACAAACTCATAGGAGCATGTGTTTACTGTGTTGCTTTGTTCTATTATTTTGTGTGTTTTATATTCTGTTTATATTCTATTGATGTGCCTTTAATGTCTGTTTTCCATGCTCGACAGTGTTTCACCACTAGAATCAAATTGTCATCTTATAATAAAGCTACAAAAGTTGTCAGTATTCTATATGCACCAATATCCCAAATAAATATTCAAGTGCCTTTTATAGTATTTTGGCAACTGCAGCGATTCCTTCATGTCGAATCTGACATCACCTAACATGAGGTAAAACTGGAAACAGAAACACCGTACCTCCATCTTGGTTTGGATCCAGGGTCCGATGATGTTGGCCTGGGCAGCAAACTGGCGCCTCAGTCTCTCGTTGGCCTGCTGTCTGGCCACCTCCTCCTGGAGCATTTGGTCTCTGAGGGGCACAAGGTGCTTCACCTGCAAAACACAAACACGTTAAATAGTATAATAAAAATCTTCCCCAGAGTTAAGCACAGGTGAAAATGTAAATGACAGCCCTTTAATACTAAAAACATGCAACCACTGTGTAACCAAGCTACCAAAGGTTTTGATAAATGTGCTTCTTGTCCTCCTAGTGCAACTCTTAAGACGCAATTAAAACCATTTACAACTTCAAAAGATATTTTAGCAACAAGTTATATGCGATTGATAGTTTAATGTCATCACCAGACGGTGCAAATCAAGTCTTTTCTTTCAGTAAAATATAGTAAACATAGAAGCCATAGAAATTTAGTGATGTTTTCAGATTACGTGTCCTTTTTTTCCAGTCAAGCTTGTTGAGTAATGAACCAACTAGTTATGACATGATTGTCTGATGTGTGTCAAACTGCAGCTGCACTGACAGGTTGTGCTCTGCAGCTATTTTGATTTCCCCTGAGGGCTCGCAGCCAGCAGTATTCAGTGTCGCTATAACCTAAATGTACTGTACTATTTCTGACTTGTCGCTATGTATGTACTGTACTTATTAGCCAGATGACCAAATACAACGCACAGAGTAAGTTAGCTTGACATTTCCTGTTCACATAACGTCAATGTACACAAACCAGGAATAAAAGCAAGTTCGAAGGGCTATGTCTTGGATAAATTATCCTCTGCAATTATTAATTTGTTATTTCCCATTGTTGCTCCTTGACTGTGAATACCACATAATGATTCTTGGTTGTGTCCGATTCGACTCACAGCGTCCCATTTATTGCTGATGTCCTGGGGGCTGAGGTTGGTGTAGGGGTTGATTCCGGACAGCTTGATGCCGTAGGTCTGAGCGATCTTCAGGATCTCGCTATGGATGCCCATGGTGGCCATGCGCTCCTTGTCGGCCTCAGGCAGAGTGGCCTTGAACTGGTCGTGAGCGGTGATCAGACTCTGTGCGGGAGATCAGAGGAAAGGAAAATAAACGGTTAGACAATGAAGATGCAGTATTTGAATTTCCAGTTTCTTGTGCTGTTATTTATCCCATGGAGGACAGTAAAATATTCTCTAAGTCTGCTTTGATCAGCGTTTTCATACAGGATTTATGTGTCCTCATGCAACATTTATATTTTGCATTATATAGCATTTCTTTTTTTTTCTTTCAAATTGACTGGGAGTAGTCCATTTATGTGCAACTGTACAAAATGGAAACATTATTTCCGAGTCAGAAGTTAGCTCATGAATTTAATCTTGAACTGCAGCCGACTATCACGTGTCAAATGCCTGAACTTTCTGACCCTTGTCTGTTGGGGACTGACACATCAAATTATTAATCTGCCAGTCGGGAACACTGATGTATTGTTTCAATTACCAGTATTAATAGATTCCTGTCAGTGTAAATGTGAACTAGTGTTTAAAATTTTTTATGCTTTTCAAGGCAATTCAGATTTAGTGCAGCAGGTTCAAGGTTTCTGTGTCAATTAGAGAAAAGCAGACCTCAGACTTGAATTATTTTCTATGGATAAAAACTGAATATCTAAACCTGAACAGAACTGACAGCACAGTAATTACAAATGAAAGATAAAAACTACATATATTCAAATGTAGTGTGTGTGTGTGTGTTCATGTATGCATGGTGCTGGGTTTACCTGGATCTCCTCAATGCTGTGGACAATGAACATGTCCTGCAGGTCCTCCATGGCTCCGTCCATCCAGTTGTTGAAGGGTGCCGCCCTCTTGGCAAACTCCAGATACAGCTGGTCAATAGTTTCCCAGAGCTTCTCCACACGCTACAGACACAGTAACACAAACACACTCATAAGCGAAGGTGTGGGCAGTTGCAAAATGAGTTATTTGGACTGTAGTTTGTGGTCACCTGGGCATTTCTTTTGACATCTCACTAAATGATTTGGTTAGATTTCTTTCTTTCAAATCTAACTCTACTAATTTCTGAAAAATTTTATGTGAATACAGATATGTGAACATATAATTAAGTGGAGTTTTACAACCCAAAAACTGAATATACAAAGCTGAGTGTGTGTGTTTTACCTCCAGTGAGTCCCTCCTCTTCTGGGTGAGGGTGCCCAGGTTGTCCCACTGGTCACAGATGCCCTGGCAGCGGGCGTTGACTGTGGCAGCATCATGGTAGTCCAGCTCACTGGAGGAGACGGGAGAGTAAAAAGCACCGTTGGTGATTTATGACAGACTGTCAACCAGATTTCTATCTAATTTATATTTATAATGATTAGGTTCCTGTCCGACAGGAGTTGAAACTGTATGTGAGAAACATGGACAGATTTTTAAATAAAAGTAAAAATGTCAAAGTTCGGGAGGTTTACAGCTGTTATGCCTGAAGTTACTCATATTAATTTTACAAATATCTGTAATCACACTACATTAGAATAGTTAATGCCATTACACACTCGATTTTTACTCTTTCTTGCAATTGAAGGGTCATCTGAGAACATTTTGCTTTTGAGGACATATGTTTTTAAAGTGGTGATAAATTATGGGTGGCATGCATTCATATTCAGCATCATGGTGCTGAACAGCTCATATTATACTGTATGTAGCATCAAAGAGATCATCTCAAAACTATGTGTGAAAAAAGCCCAGAGGAGTGGTGTGGAATAAGGAAATAGTGAGATCAGAGGTTTCTGCTCTTTCATGAACCTTCCTTTCATCTTTTTATCCCTCTCATTAATATGCTTTACACTCATCTGTTGCATCTTTTGTTCTTCACTGTTCTCCTATCCCGGCCATTAGGACTCCTGAAGCACTTCAGGCCCTCTCTTCCTCTCGTCCTCCTCCTCCTCTTCTCCTGTACCTCCTACAGCTTCCAAATCAGCCCTTTTGCCTAAAATTAACATAATCTCTCCTCTTATTTCTCGTTCCCTCCCATTTCTCCTGCTCTCTATTGCAGTTATTTCATGTTTCTCTCCACAACCTTATCATTAGAAAGCCCCCACCCCCAACATGTCTACTTTATTTTTCCACCAATAAAATACTGAATACAAATCCCAAAGAACACTGAACTCCAACGCAAAATGTGAACTACTTCTTCCCACTACTTCTCCCAGCACACAACACTTTCAAACACTTGCACAGTTCCCAGCCTCCCTCCCCTCGCCCCTACGTCTTACTTCAGCTCCTGGGCGATGGCAGCGATCTGCTCCACTCTGTCCTGGTGAGCGGCGAGGTCGCTCTCGAAGGCCTCGTGCTTCCTCATGAGGGCTCTGATCTCCATCAGAGAGGCTGACTCATAGTCCTTTTGGGACAGCAGGTCCTCCTTACCTGAAACACGCAGATGTTAGCGGTGGCAACATTTTAAATTGCTCCTCTTCATAGGGAAAAGGTGACGAGCTTTTAAATTTGTACAGCTCTCACATCTTCCTCCCTCCACTACAGTTACCCTGTTTCTCTGAATCACCTAGGCATTTCATTATCCCCATAAATTACTTTATAACTCTACAACATTTGAACCATGTAATTTATCATGATTTTATCTGTTTTTTATGATTATCCTGTGACATGTTTGCCTTATTAGACAGTGTAGAGTGACTCAAGACTCAAAAAATGGAGGTGATATGAGGGAGGAAGAAGCTACAAAAGGTCAAAATTCACTGGAATACTATTTAGGGTGACAGCAGGAAGATATGGGCAGACAGGAAACTACTTTTGGTCTCACTTGTCTACTTTTAATTAAAGTCTCCTTTCCATCTGACTTGCATTTGTTTGGCAAATAGAGAAATAAGAGTCATTATGAATATGAAAGCTCCAAACAGAAAGAGCCAAACATCCTGAAAGTTTCTTCTTTCATGATTTTATTTTGTTCTTACCTCCAGTCCACGACTCATGCATGGAGCACTTCTGCTTGAACTTCTCAGCCAGGTGGTCAAGTCTCTCCAGACGACGGATCTCGGTCAGCAGCCACTCCTCGTAGCCCTTCTCCACCTGCTCCAGACCCTTCCAGGCGTTGGCAATATCCTGGAGGAGACGGACAGGTTTTATCACCACTCTGATTTACTGAGAGGAAGAATTTTCACCAGTTTTTGGCACCCGTTAGAGGGAATTAATGATTTGGAGGTTGACTCACTGACTTGAAGTAGTATCTTTTTAGAATGTGATTAATAAAAATGTATGCCTTCAGAACTTTTTCATATGTATGTAAATCACTGGGAAATTAGAAAAGATTATTCTATTATGAGCCAAATGAAATCATGCTTCTATTTGCATCTCAGCTGAATTAAAAGTGAACTATCTAACACTTTTCTTTTTGTCAGTCTTTCTAGCTTTTTTCTATTTGATGACTTTCAATTTCTGTTGTTGGGTGAAGACTTTGTGTCTCTGTGATGTCAACTTTTTAGGAACTAAGAGAACAGCCTTACTTTTGTCGGATGACAGCGTGGGGGTTTTGAAAGGCTTTTACAAGCTTTAAGGGATGGAAAACAAAAGAGGAAGTAACCCTCCACTGATGTGGAAGCCTGTAAATCCACAATGACGCTGTGCAGCAACAATGACACTAAGCTAAAAATCTGTCCTGCTCACCGACACCATCTTGCCCTCGGAGGGCATGAAGGCGGGCCTGTTGCTGAGCCTCAGCTTGGTCTGCAGGGTGTTGAAGTTGATCTCCAGCTGGCATTTCTCCTGCACGCGGGGTGGCTTGTGGATGCGACGGTAGTCACGGAAATCCTCCAGCTTCTGCTGCATGGCGCGCATGGTCTGCTCCGCTGCACGGTTCTCCAGCCAGGGGATGGTGCGGCGGATCCATTCCAGCAGCTGGAGATGCCGGAGAGATGTGAGGATTATTCAAATGATTATTCAGAGAGTTTGGTTTGTTCTTGTCTTTATAACCTGTATAGAGGATTTTTCTTAAACCCTACTGTCCTCTCACTATCACTCTATATTTAGTATTTTCAAAATTACACAAGGATTACAACATTTTCTCTGTCAGTTGGCTGTTGACATTGATCTTTCTCGAGGTGCAGAAATGATTCAGTCAAGGGAAGGAAAATGAACAAATGTTGATAACTGATCGTTGAAATGTTTCAGTTATTTACAAATCCAGAAATCAAAAAAACTGCTTCACAAGCTGATATCACACCATCATAAAATTTAACTGTTTGTGTTCTTTGGCTATAAGTAAGACTGTATACTGTGTATGTATATTGCTCTCGGCTGCTCTTTTAAAGTTTCTGTTACTGTGACACTTTGGTCTTTCACTCATCATCACACTATTGATTTGCCTGCAGTGATTGAAGAGCCGTGTCGTTTAAAGTTAGTAGGAGGATCAGAAAGTTTAGAGAGAAGCTGTGAGTTTAACCTGAGGGAACATTAAAGTGTTGTTGCAGAGGAGGATGTGCAGTACAGACTGAGAGTGGGAGTATTTGGTTGCAGCTGTTTCTCACCTCGCTGGCCAGCTTCTCGTACTCCTCCATCAGTTTCTCATTCTCCTGGTTGACGGCCAGCACCTTGCAGATACGGTTGGCAGCTGTCTCAGCCTGAGAGAGAGAGAGGGTAGCAACATTTATTATAAAATTTACAATGCAGAATAGAAAAGAAAAGAAAAAATTCTAATATTTCTCACATTTATTCATTAAGACTGCTCTTGTATCATCAATTAGAAAGGGATTGCATATCAACATAAAAGATTAAACTCAAAGCAACAAGATCAAAATACCCCACAGTGGGATTAAAATATTAGACACTAAAAATATTAGTGTAAGAAATAAAAAAAATGAAATACTCTCTGACCTGCTCAGCACCGGCGAAGGCGTGGTAGAAGCAGGACACGTAGGTCATGATGGCCTTCTCATCAGGTTTGGGTGTGTTCACAATATCTGAGGGCAAAAAATATCAAGGATAATATTAAAATATTATAAGAAGTTTTTGAATGGCCATCCCTAATAAACTCAAATTATTATTATACCTAATTATATCTTATTATGTACAGTGGAGTGGTCTCAGGTCAGGACCTCACTGTACTTTTGTTAGTTTAGCTTTTAAAAAAGTATAAGTAAGAAATACAATGATTTAAAATCTATCTTTGTTTGTTTATTAATATAAGAATATAAATATAGAATGACACATAGCATAAAATAAAGAAGATTATGATTTACTGTTGTTTTTATGAATCATAGGAGATTTACCTATAAAATATCTCTGAGGTTCAATAGATGCTTTTAAAGTGATTTAATATGCATTCAGTTTTTTATGCAGATAAGTTCCAAGTAAGAAGGACCTCTCGTCCTTGTACCATCCTCTATCATGTACTGTGCTGCAGTGGAGGCTGTCAGTGTGTGTCAGTGCTAATACCACAGAGACGAGTCCCTCCAGAGGTTTTCTCAGTCTGATTGTTGTTTCAGGATTTTGTTTCAGCCTCACCTTCAGCGTCAAGCATCTTGGGGATGTCCAGGAACTTCTCAGCCACCTCGAAGGCAGTGTTCAGGTTACCAATGGGGTCATCCTACAGACACACACAGGTACTGTCAAACACGGCCACACAAGAATCACAACAACAGCTAATGTCACCATCCGCACTGAGAGGAAGGAAGCTGAGATTCACATACTGAACTGACAGCTCCAGAGAGATTTAACAAAGCAACATTTCAATCTTAAAAGATTTTTGGCAGCCAAACAATAAGCGCTGTTGTTGTTTGTTCCGTTGTTTTGAATCCAATACGTCAAAAAAATTTTACATGGCCGCTGTCATCTTTGCTATTCATCCACACAGAAAAGGAACACAATTCTGGACAAAACGAATGCTTTCCTTTTTGTAATATTTTTGTAAATTGTCAACTGGTATTGACATCTAATTAAAAAAAAACTCAATATGGGTTCAACAATAGAATGATATATTTCTTACACTATTAATACTGCGGATATGAACCACCATATTTAAAGTTGTGTTTCATATCTACAAAAGATTTGATATTGTGACATTAAGTGCTGCAAAATACTAGACTGCATATCTTGCAGAGATACAGTTAAGAGCACAAAACACAGTATTGAAATTAAAGACGAAAGAGCAACGAACAGATCGAAGATAGAAACTATATCAACACAGGAAGAGAAGAAGGCAGGACAGGGCACCTTTCTCAGTTTGGAGTAGTCAATGAGGTCAGGTCTGTGTCTGTGGATGAGGGCGCACAGAGCCAGGCCATCCTTCCAACTGAGCCACGAGAGGAGGAGGAGGAGGACAGAGACAGCAAACGTGAATAAAAAGTGTGAGAAACACCAGGAAAGAAGGTAAAGAAAGAGAAGAGGAAGTTCCAGAGAAGAAGCATGAAACAAAAGGATGAAGATAAATAAAAACAAGGAAAAGCAAAAAAGGTAGATAATAAACTAAGGAGGAAAGAGGAAGGCGGTAGGAATTATCCAAAAGTTAACACAGAGATGGAAACAGAGTTTAAAAAGAGAGGAAAGAAACTTGCTAAAACAAAAAGATAAATGGCTGCAGTTCCCTGGTAATGCCACAGTTCGGTGTTGTAGACCCACCTGATGTGGAAGTTCTGCACGTTGACGTTCCTGTAGGGGGCAGTCTTCCTCTGGCACCACAGCAGCAGACCCTCCTTAGCAGAGGTCTCTGCAAAGAGTAAGGGAGGGAGATGGTGAGCATTTTAGAAAGACATTTTATTCAAACACTGTTCTTAAACAAGGAAGAGAAGTCGTCTTTTTGAATCATGGCAAGTAGAGGAAGACTATGAGGGGGAGCAGCAGGATGAAAGAGATAGTGACAGGTTTAAACTAATGAACGAAGACGCATCAGAGGAAGAAGCGGGCAAGTTAAAGGGTGAAAAGTGGATATATGATGTACAGAAATCTTAAGAGATGGAAAATGGTTAAAGGAAGTCAGGTTTTTTTTCTGCTTACAATAAGCAACCTTTATTTTTCAAAGTCAAGCTAGTGCAGCTGGTGGTTTATAGATACTTTCCTTGGAATGATGCATTATGACAGGTTAGGAGGGGGTCGGTGGCAAAGGGAGTCAATGTATACCACAACAGAAGATATTGAAGAGCAGGAGCAATAAAAAGTGAGTGAAAGAAGACGACTTGAAGGTGAGGGTCGGAGGTATGAGGAAGGACGGTAAACAAGGTCTTAGGTCTTTATAAACAAGGATTTATTGTGAATTGACCTTCAGGGAAGTTCAGGGAAATTTAAAAGAAAATAATGTGATTTACTGCACACAAGTGTACAGTAAATCACACAGTGCAGTAAATAAACATCAGTAAACTCTGAGGGCATGCAAACCTCTCTGACCTGAGATGCTGTTCAAACATGTGACTGATGTATGAAACTCTATGTGTAAATAAGCCGAGTGTGTACAATATGAATGTGTTTTTGTGCACCAAGTATTCTGTGTTGTTTGTGATGTTGGTCCCTGAAGTATGAAATTTCTTGACTGTTACGCTACTTCAAGACATAAGAAGTCTTCAGTGTGCGTTTCTGAGTGTAAAAAAAAAAAAAAAAAAAAATCAAGTGAAAAATTGACTTTTTCCCCACGTTAGTGTGTGAAATTCTGACTGACACAGCATAGAGAAACTGGGCGTGTGTGTTGTGCTCATATGACAGACATGGGAATGATAGTTGGCCTCAGTGGTGTGTATCAAAAACTGCCTTCAGTCATAATCAAAAATGCTACGAATGCTCTCAATCTCGTGTCGACTAAATCTGATACCACCCTCTTATCTGTCTGTTAAATATGAACAACCAGCAAGCAGTTAGCTTAGCTTAGCATAAATCACCAAATTAAATTGAAGTCTTTTTAAGACCTTTTTAATACCACATAGAATACAATTTAATACCTGTTTCAATCGACACTCATTCTGAGACAATGAGCTTTGTAGCTACTGTAGCTCACAGTAATGACAGTGTTTGCTACAGGTCTGATGGTGCCAACTCGAACTCCACAAATAA